ACACGTACACACACACCCATCACACAGCTCCATAAGTATACATGCACTAGGAAGCTCTGTAAGTGTAGTCCCCCTCTCTCCCTTGCCACGTCACACACACACACACACAGATACACACACACACACAAGATCTTTCCATAAGTAGATTTGCTGATGACACTAAAATAGGACGTGTAATTAAATCTGACGAGGACTCCGCAAAACTACAGGAAGATCTAAACAAATTTTTCGAATGGTCTGAAAAATGGCAGATGAAATTCAATGTGGACAAATGTAAAGTACTCAGTCTAGGAGACGTAAACAGGGAAAACCAGTTACCAGATGAACAACGATGCCATTGAGAAATCCGACTGCGAGAGAGATTTAGGAGTAATGATAAGTAGGAATCTTAAGCCAAGTAAACAATGTGTTTTTGCTCGTAACAGGGCTAATAAAGTACTTGGGTTCATACAAAGGAGTGTTAGTTACAAGACTAGGGAGGTCATCTTAAGATTATATCTTGCGCTTGTGAGACCTCACCTGGATTACGCAGTGCAGTTCTGGTCACCGTATTACAGAATGGATATAGAATCCTTGGAAAGAATCCAGAGGAGAATGACAAGACTAATCTCGGGCATTAGGAACCTTAAGTACAGAGACAGGTTAAAGCATCTTAATTTGCACTCCCTCGAGAGACGTAGAGTGAGGGGCAACATGATAGAGGTGTATAAATGGAAGTCAGGGCTAAACAAAGGGGACATTACAAAGGTACTCAAACTATCCAACCAGGAGCGAACTCGTAACAATGGTTTTAAATTAGACAAATTTAGATTTAGGCGCGAAATTGGTAAACACTGGTTTGGAAACAGAGTAGTGCATGAATGGAACAAGTTACCAAATATCCTCGTACACCAATATCGTTTATTTTGATGTTAAGAACATAAGAAAATAAGGAGTCTGCAATAGGCCGGTTGGCCTGTGCATGGCAGCTCCTGTCGAGAGTTACTACCACTCTCTAGCATCCATGAATCTATCTAGCCTCCTTTTGAAACTTTCCAGAGTTCTCGCACTTACTACAAAGTTGCTAAGCTTGTTCCACTCGTCCACCACCCTATTTGTGAACCAGTTTCTTCCTATCTCCCTCCTAAACCTAAACTTATCAACTTGAATCCGTTGCTCCGAGTCCTATCCTGCTCGGATATTATAAGAACTTTATATATATCCCCTTTATTGATTCCTTTCACCCACTTAAATACTTCTATCATATCTCCCGCACTCTTCGTCTTTCTAGGGAATGCAAGTTAAGTTTCTTTAACCTATCCTGATATGGAAGGTTTCTAAGTCCCGGAATCATTTTTGTCATTCTTCGCTGCACCGACTCTAGTGAATTTATATCCATTCTATAATAGGGCACCAGAAATGAACCGCATAATCGAGGTGCGGCCTGACTAGCGCAAGATATAGTTGCAATAAGACCTCTGCACTCTTGTTACTTACACTTCTAGATATAAAACCCAATACTCTGTTTGCCTTATTTCGAACATTAACGCACTGTTTTCTAGGCCGTAGGTCCGGGCTTACAAGTACCCCTAGGTCTCTTTCACAAGTCGACTTCTCTAGGTTGATGTTGTTAAGGCTGTATACATTATAAGTATTTGTTCTTCCAATATTAAGTACGCTGCACTTGCTGGTGTTGAACTTCATTTGCCATTTTTCAGACCACCCTGCAGTTTATTTAGATCCTCCTGTAATGCATTTGCATCCTGCCCTGAATTAATTTGCCGCCCTATTTTGGTGTCATCCGCAAACTTGCTTATGTCACTGCTGATCCCAGTATCTAAATCGTTTATGAAGATTATGAACAAGAGTGGGCCTAGTACTGACCCCTGGGGAACCCCACTGGTTACACGACCCCACTCAGATTTAACACCATCTACGCTGACCCTCTGCGTTCTATCGATGAGCCATGATTTTATCCAATTTAAAACTTTCCCCTCGATACCATGAGCCTTAATTTTTCTCAAAAGCCTCTGATGCGGTACTCTGTCAAATGCTTTGCTAAAGTCTAAGTAAATAACAGTAATTTTCGTCATTATCTACTACCTCGAAGACTTTCCTAAAAATGTTAGCAGATTTGTTAGACAAGATTTTCCCTTTGTAAACCAATGTTGGGAGTCGTAGATTAATTTGCTTTTCTCTAGATGCGATCGGATGCTATCTGCTATAATTGATTCAAGAAATTTCCCAACTACTGACGTCAAACTGATCGGCCGGTAATTTGACGCTGATGCTCTGTCTCCCTTTTTGAATATGGGTACTACATTTGCCTGTTTCCACAAGTCTGGCACAACTCCAGTGTCTAATGATTTTGTAAATAAGTTTACGAGGGGTCCGCTAATCTGTTCCCTACACTCTTTCAAGACTCGAGGGAAAATTTCATCCGGCCCTGGGGATTTTGTTTTCTTTAGTTTATTTATCTTCTTAAGAACATCCTCTTTTCTGATAGTGATATTCTTTAATTTCTCTTCTTCCTTTCCCTTAAATATCAGTTCCACCTCTGGAATTTCATCGCAAATTTCTTGTGAAAACTGATAAGAAGTAGCTGTTCAATGCTTTGCTTATTTCTTCACTGCCATTTATCACTTCTCCCCTCCCTGACTTTAAAGGCCCAACTTTGTCCTTGACCTTTGTCCTATATACCTGGAAAAATCCCTTGGGATTCGCCTTGGATTCTCTTGCTATTTTGATTTCATAGTCTCTCTTTGCTTTCCTTACATTTTTCTTAACATTCCTAGAAAGTTCATTATACCTGTTTCTGAGCTGCTCCTCCCCTCCCTTTAATTTCTTATATAATTCCTTTCTTTATTCCTATGTCAAGTTTAAGTTTTCTGGTCATCCACCTTTGCTCATTCTTATTTGACCTAATTTTTCTGTATGGTATATTTTGTTCTTGTGCTTTATGTAGTATACTAGTGAATATATTATAGTCATGATCAATTGTTGTGTCATCTATGACCTCACCCCTTCCCACTGGGGACTGACGTGACTGTTCCCAGGTGACCTCACCTAGGTACCTTCTTAACCCCTGATAATCCGCCAACCGAAAGTTTGGGACTCTGACCATATTGTCATTGTGTGTGAAAGCAAAGAGCATATAACAAATAATATAAAGAATAACAAAATCGTCAGTTCAGCAAAGAAAATAAAACCAATGACGCAAACAAACAAACAAACAAAAATCCCAGGTCAGCAAGGAAAATAAAACCATTGACGCAAACAAACAAACAAACAAAAATCCCAGGTCAGCAAGGAAAATAAAACCATTGACGCAAACAAACAAATAAATATCCCAGGGCAGCAAGGAAAATAAAACACGCTACTACATTCAGTCAGGTCTTCGGTATTGTCAACAAATATTCAGTTACAACAGCGCTAAATCATCTTTACTTTAAGTTGTGTTGAGCTTATAATGAACTTGCATGACGATTTTACTGAAAAGATATATATTAATTTATCTATCTGTCTAGCTATTTATTTATCTATCTATTTGTTTATTTATCTATCAATCTATTTATCTATCTACTTTATCTATCTATCTATCTTTATCTATATATCTGTCTATCTAGTTATCACACTTAAAAATTACGGGTGATTCATATCTTTGGTTTAAACGAGCCTAATTTGATTTAACGAACTGATTTATTTTGTGGGGGGCGTGGGGGATGGATTAGGCTAGTTTGTGCCGTATACTTTAATAAATGATTTAGTGTCGTAGCCTCTTTGAATTATAATCCGCTTATTTCATTTATCTAAACCTGGCAACATATGTCATCAATTTATCATAACTTTGCCTTTGTTTAGCTACCAGGTTTCTCACTCATTATCATCTAAAAAATAAAAAAATAAAAGTAAAAATAAATCCGTATAAATCCTTTACCCTAAACAAGAATAATTTCCTTTGTTATCAACTTTTATTTACAAACTCAAGTTCCATACAGCGACATACATAATTATGAGACATCGTAGTGGCATGCTGGGACATAAGATACCATGGAACACTACACTTCTATGTCCTGCTACCATAGTGTGGAGGCAAGTGCAGGTATTAACACCTTACTGGCGGTGGGCCAATGGCTTAGTAAACGTCACTCACTAACACCTGCCACTCGTAACCTACTCTTGTTGTCATAATGCACCATAACACTGTCACGTTGATAAATGTTAATTCTAAGCCGTACCCAGTGCCCCTGCCCCCCTCCGGACTGATAACAAGATAGCGAAAGATCTCACATTCCTCCCACGTCATCTATAATCTCTGCAATCTATCACACAAGTCTTAATACCACACACAACTATTGTACTGTATTGTTATTCATGTGTAATTGATGTGTCTATCTTATCATTACTAAAACCTAAAAGAATAATCTCCGGTACGAAATTTGCTGGGAATTTTTTTCATTGCCCCATTATTATCTTTTCAAGGTTTCACTAGATTATAAATGGTAGGAAGAAATAATGTCTTCGTAAATGTGTAATAAGAAGTTTATTCATTTATAATATAACTGCTGTCTAGAAACGTAGAAAAAAAAACAAGCAATACTATATTTAAAATTTCTTATCAATCACTGGTATATCATTTTAAACAAGTTAATAAAAACGCAATATACAGGTTGATACATTTATATATTTTTCATTATAAGTATTAAACACTCCTAAGGCGCTGTGTTGTAATAATGAACAAGTTAAATGTTCTGTGTTCGGGTGACATCACAGGATAGGGAGCGAGAGGTACAGTATATTATTATACAGTGCAGGTACACATAATAATAAGCAACAAGTAAATAATCAAAAAAACGTGTCCAACAAGGTCACATATCCCTCATTATATACTCTACAGTGTTTATCCAAGTACTTCCACTATCACCTGTACACTCTATACAAGGACATGGGTCGTAGTGATGTTGCTACCCACTACCGGCTGGCGATAAGATTACTGCAACATGGTGTAACCCCTCACTCACCTCGACGAGATGGGAGGCTTCGACTTGAGCGTGTAAAAGCCATTATCGTCGCTGCCATCCCTCAGTATGGTATCGAAGTCCTCGAAATCCACCTCCACTATATCGAAGCCTAAGTCAATACCTGATTCTGGTGCCGTCATGATGTGTTGTGTCTGGTAAACACGCGGGATAAAACTAGTGTAAACGAGAGACTATGGATACACTCCGGCGAGTTCGTTTGACAACTGAACAGGCAGACGATGAGTCAACTTCCCGCCACCTCCCCGCACTGCCTGGCGCATTTGACTATTAACGGTACCTGTTTTTATTCTCATTAACAACACAATAAAATATTTTTATATTTCATCATTAATCAAGTTATATAATTTTTTTTCTCAGCAAACCACTGAGACTTTTACATGGCGCATTAACATATCTTTTATTTATTTACAAGAGTGACATACAATTTTTCATGACGTTGCCATGACGTCATAAGACATACCCTTGGCAACACGCATTTGTCACTTGTGTTTGAGTCGATATAATGATTGTCACCTTTACCTGAAGCTTCACAAATTTTGTTTATAAAGTGCTAATTAGCATAAACAACATAAATGTCTTAATTTGTGATGTTGAGAAGCAGTTTAGTTGTTGGAGTTCCCCTTAAAATTTTTCTTGTTTTCTTTGATGGTTTTGAACACTCGTTTTCTATGATGTTGCAGCTGTTTTCCAAATATGGAATTTAACTCCGTAATGCAGTTGTGTACCTGACTACTGCATCGACGATAACACTTTTGATTAAACTTGCAACTCTCTAATAACACTGTGATTGCGTTAATGAGCATCTTATCTCATGACGTACTGTATGTGATAAACATTTTTCCTTATATTAGAATGTACAGAGCCTTCACGTGTCCATTATTTACCTGCATTGGCTACTGTATAAATGCTGAACCAATTGTAAACGTGTAGGAAGACTTGCCGTTCAAATAACTATCAAATTTGCCATGTATCTAAGTATTTCTGTGTAGGGGTGCACCATCACATACAAGTCAACATATGAATCTTCAACTCCCTTACGCACGTCTTGTCCCGACATCCTACAGTAGATAAACTCAATCAATAATTCAGTCTCATTAGATAATATTTCCCTTAAAAGATTAGTATTATAGGCTTATTTACATTATATATAAGAGTTTATTGATTTATTATGGACGGAGACTTTATTGTGTAACTGTGTGAGTCATTAGAGGCCTGGCAAGTGATCATACGTCAGGTCTGGGATCATTTGGAGATTAGACACACCAGCTTATGTCACCTGAATAGTAACCATCCAGACATTACCGGGGGTTAGCTTTTAACCTTTCAGTCCGCTCAACACATTCCACTGTTCCTAGTCTACTTGAATTCCAAACACACTATATTATTTACCTCAGAGTGTAAAGTTAGATGGCCGATGCCTTGAAAATTAAGAATAAACACCAAAGGTTCTCCTGTTTTCATTATTATTATTTTTTGCATTACAGTATTTTATTAACCATCTATAAGAGAAACATGGAAATTACACCTTTTAGTTGTATACGCAAGACACTAAAAAAAAAACAGGCGGTCGTAAAATAAAAGATAAAAAATCGAAAATGTTATTGTTTCTTTGAAGATTATTAAAACTTTTTTTTAACTCATGGTACAGCAATACCTCAATAATAAATAATGAAAGAAATGTCAATATATTTTTATTACCTTATACCGCAGGATACTTTTATCTTTATATTGAGAGACCCTTTATATAACATGACCTGCATAATTTTGAATGAAACCATCATTTTGATATCACATACTAACTAGGTACGTTCCATATGACTTCTTTTGCCACCCTGTGAAGTGAGATCTTTTCTGCGCGGTGTTGAACGATTACGTTGTGGGGTACGTGATGTTTGGTTCACACTCAGGATGGGATGGAGAAAGGAAACTCACAATGTGCTCTCTGTATACATGTTGTATTGGATGTACAATGCAGCTTGGTGCTGGGAAGGCAGCATGGTTACAAGCGTTGAATAGAGAGAGCTGGTTGGTGAGGATGCTCAGAGGACAGCTTGTGGGTCGCCATGCTCGCCGGCGGGAGAGAGGACCGCCAGGCAGGCGGAGGAGGAGCGAGGGCCGCCAGGCAACGGTGGAGGAGGAGGAGGTGTTGCTGGCTGGTTGGTGTAGGTAGAAAGAGGCAGGTCACCACGAGGTCAGGTCTTAAATAGCGGGGGGTAGGCGTGGCCTAGCAGTTGACCCCCGCTCCGTGATGTATGGCGGCGCTGGTTGACCCAGACCACGAGGCATACACTGGGGAATTGGTGGGGTCGACTACTCAGCGACAAACAGCGTTTGTAGGGAAGAAATCCACTACAACGTCACAGCAAGTTTCGTTGTTATTCTTATAAAATACAAAAGAAGCTTATTTTTCATCTTCGTAACCCGGCAGGATTCTTTTGGTGTCATAATTTCCCAAAACCTTCTTGGACACTTATATTGGTAAACAAATCCCACAACACCATGAATTTACAGAACTATTGTACCATATCGTCAGTCTTCGCACGCTCCACCACCTAACCTTATAGTTCTACTAACAAAACGGAATTATCTAAAATCCAAGGAAATCCGGGAACACTGTACTTATTTTTGTTGAGGGGGATTCTTAGAAAATTCCGAACTCTCTCAGCTAATCCGAATACGGCTGAGTTGGCATGTAGGATATTTACGAGCAGGGAATCTCCGGAGCATCCGTGTGAAAATACTGTGTGGATGTCGGGTACACTATAATAACCCGTTATACGTAGTAGTTCCTTCTTTCCTCACACAGCCAAACTGGAGAATTCTTTGTCTTCTACGGTGTTTCCATCCTCTTACAATCTGTCTCTTAAAAAAGTTGGTTGTCCGGCATCTTCGTGGTGTAGATTAACATACTCTTTTTCTCCTCTAATGTTTATTTATTGTTCTTTCACCCCCCCAGGCCCGTCGTGGGTCAATGACCTTTGCTCGGGTGGGCTACTCCCCTTAAAAAAAAGTTAATTTGACTTTTTAAAGAATTTTCGATTATTTTGTTGTTTGATCGATTTTATTATTCATTTGACCTATTTCAGATTTGTTTTAAATAAAACTAAGATATGAATTTAGTATAGTATAATATTTTTATATGTTGAAAGCGTTAATTATTCACATCCAATTGTTTTAAATAGATAGATAGATAGATATTAAATAAAATCGTCATACAAGTTCACATTGGCTTTTGTATGTATAATGTATATGTATATAAACACATATATTATAAATCTTCTGTAGTCAAACAAACGTAGATCATATTTTAATTAAGGCTTGTTCTCTGTACTTATCAGCTGTAGTTAGTGAGTACACATTCATTCTCGTTAAGTGATGTGAAGTCATCATCAAGAATGAGACTCTTGTTAATGTAAAAACTGCTGCCTCAGTATTGCCAGCCAAGCAGAGTGACAAGCTAGTCTCTTCTCGCTATCCTAAACTCAAGTCTCGTAGATGTGATTTTTGGAGGATATGACAGCAATTTGGACGAACTTGATTGTCTTGGTTGGCTGTAATGTTTACGTGGTATTAGTTTTAAGTGTGGATGAGAGAAGATACGCGGTACGCCACAGGGTACACGAGAACCCTGCTAGGAATGCAATGCCTCGTCGCTGGCCAACCACTCTGAGCTGTTGCCCCGCCCTACTCTTAACTTATGTAATTTCGCAAACAGACCTAATGAAAATTTGTTCAATAGGAATACAATATAGCAAAAGAATAATATAAGTAAGATAAAGTACTCATTACAGTTCTATGAAAGCTAGAATGAAATCAGTGACAGTTTTTAATTCAGAGCAGTTGGGTGTGCAATAAGGCTGACCTCCAAAAACAGTTCACCGCTCGTCGCCACCACAAACCTGCGTCAGCATATCGTATCCTCTGTGCTCTTTCTTTCCGAGTGTTATTAGAACTCTTATTTTTGCTGCTTTCATTAATGTGATATACGTCTTTCATAATATTCAGAATCATATATTTTATTACAATATTAGCAGAAGCTTTAAGAGAAATAATTGAAATGTATTGAAAAAAAAAGATACTTTGGCCATAAAATTACGGATGTGGGAATAATAAAAAATATTAATGGGCTAAGTTGAGGGTAGGAGGGCTAGGGGAAGGCAGAGACTGGGATGGATGGATGAAATTAAAAACAGGGTCCTTTACCAAACCTTAGAGGATTGGTAAAAAAAAAAAACAGGCCGTTACGGGTGTTCCAATGAACCTGGCAACAAGATCATCTATATCGAGCAAGATTTGGAGGTATTTTTGAGTATTTGAGTTAGCACCGTATATGAGCTTGGGGGCCGCCACGTAACTAAATGACGATAGAGGACAAAGGCGTAATCTTGGCGAGTGGTCAACAGTGGTTCTTTACTTCAATTTTCAACTAAATACTTGTTCCGCTGCATAGAACACAAATCCTATGGAGACTGGAGAGTAAGGAAAAATAATTTAATTTTGCTTAAGAATTCGAGTAAGTGACAAAACAATTCGAGTATTTTCATTAAGGTATATTTTGCACATGTAATTAATTCAGTGAGTTTGTTCTGTTTAATTTTTAAACAGGGTAGAGTTGATTTATCCCCCACAGCGACATAAATGATTCACAGTAGATAAAATAATCCCGCTAGACCTGCTTAACAAAACCTAATTTCCTAAAAAAGTCACTCAATACCCACAATTATTTTAATTTATCCTCTTCGCTACCCTTCTCCGTCCGGTACACCTCCCCAAGGGCGTACCGAAGACGTGGGGAAAAGCACCTCCCCAGCCTCCGTATTGACACACGGACAGGCATATGGTAGTAACCTAAGGTGTAATGAGTAACGCATTCTATACAGGTAATACAGGTTTATAAACACGCTGAAGTATACCTGCATCCTCTGTATACATGTTGAACCAGTAGTGAACTTGTATTGCGATTTTACTGAATAAATATACTGTATATCTATTTTGTGTCCACCTGACTTAGCATATTCAACTTTAGGTTTATGTAAATACGTTATATCAACCATCATTTTATCTCTTATGTCTATTGGCGTACAAATGCACAAACACAAAAGATGTTAATATGTAACCGGTAGTGATTTGTGTAGATTTTGCACACTATACACGCAACTGTAGAGGCAGAGATGAATAAGTTTACAATGAGAGGCAGTACACTGTGACTGATAAATATGAGCTTTCATTCATAAATTTGACAATTAACGTCACATTATCTGCCAGAGTAAATAAGTTCTGGTTGTAGTTGAACAACTCGGTTCATTCAGTCACCAAGCTTTTCACGCCAACAATTTACCGAGTTATTTGGTGTCAGTCACTAGTGAGAATGAACCAACCAGCGTGTAAGGTTTTACAAATTTGTATTTACATGTTTAGTGAGGTATACTGTGAAGTATATGTGTTATATTTCGAAATTGGCGGTTTGTGACGGCAATTGAGGCGAATTGGGAGTCCGTGCCGGAGGTTGTGTGGGCCCTGTGCTGCCAGAAGACCACCGCTGCCAAGTGTGGGAAATATATACACTATTTACCTTCTTCTCGCAAAATCATTACATGCCATCTCAGAAGAGTCATAATATTTATAGCTATGATTTATTTAATTAAAATATATATACTCTTTGTCCAAAATAAATCGTCATAAAACTGCATGTGTTGGAGAAAGCGATTTCCACATTATACCATCATAGAGAAATAGATGTGGAGAAATTAAATGGTATATATTGTGATTTATTTCTGTGTCCCATGAACATTGTTTTTGAAATATATGGTTTATATTTTTTTAGATATTTATAAAATCATTTCTTGCGCGAACCTAAATAAAATATGTTTCTTGTTGAAGTTAAAAGCAGAACAGACCCATTTGGCTTCTCCCTGTCGCCTGTGCTGCTCTCCCTGCCCAGCTGATCGTCAAGACCTCAGTCATACACGGGTAAATATTATCCATTTTCTCTATTTAAACAACCAACACACCATCTCTCTATTCTTAAGATTTCCTCCACACACCATCCATAATATTTTAACGATGTGAGTGGTAGAATATTGTTAGTAGGTGATAGGGTGTTGGTGGTCTAGCAGACGACGTACATGAAGCCGGTTCCTGTTTGATGCAATATACAAATTTCCATTTTATCAGCATGGTAACGGCGCTTTATAGTTTTGTTTAGTTCCCAGGACGGTTAGATTAGGGTTTTGATTCTATAAGATGGTTCTTGAACTTTGAGGACCCGATTATAGAGGTGAAGCAGGTGGTTGTTTCTGCTGAATTTCCGCTCTTGGGTAGGTCTTGTGTTGTGTGAAATGTCAAGTGAATATTAAAAGTTATCCTGATTTGATAGCATTAGCCACTGGGAATCCCGTTCAGTAATATCAGCGACAGGAAGTAAAGAACTATCGTGTTAAAGGTATTATGATAAGTGTCAAGTTATATATATAAGCTTGTGGGTTGACTTTAAATTTTTAAGAGTACAGTATAATGCTTTACACTTTGATAGAGGAGAATGCGTGTTATATTGGCCTGATGAAAACTACAGTACCACATTATGAATTAATTACAAAGGACTTCAAATGAGGTTCACAGATTTTATTTCCTATGGTACAAAGTGTTGTGAACTGATACATTTCAGCAGAATATGTAGGTAAAGGTCTCCATGGCTTATGTGGTTTCAGGATTAATTCTTGCAAATAATTTTCATTAAATAGAATTCATATCCCGTCAGGAACCAAGGAAAATTACAATTCTGAACTTTGCTTATTAGGTAGGAGCAGACTGTGGCCAAGTCTTCAGAGCTTCAACGAATTGGCCCAAATAATACCAAACTAAAACAAATTTAGGAGTGAAGGACCGAGCTATAAAAATTATAGCCTGCAAATAGGACTGAAGCAGACTGGACATAAAAATATTGTGTGATACTTTCATGTGTATTTCTTTCAAGGTTTCCCACTCGATTTGAATTTTATGCTTAATAACAATTGTTTGTGTAATTCTTTTAAGAAAATTAGGTATTATTTTCTTGCAGCTCCGTTCATTCCTACCACTAATCTATTATCATATTCGAATAAGACGTCTAATTATAAGATAATTTTCATCTATTACATTACCGGCGGAAATGCATAATAACGGAGATAGCTCTTCCAAAATTTTTTCTATTTTGTTCCATTAACATCGCGCCATTATCGTCTGCCTCTCACCTAACACTACGTGTCTCTCGCGTCTCCTTCATAAATCATGACGCGCATGCGTACCCGTACACGTCATGTGGCCAATCAAAAGCGTTTTTACTAATTCAGAGTATATTTGGCCCAATCAAACTCGAGTTTTATTTTGGGTCTCATATTTTGAAATTCAAGTTGTTCCGACCATGGAAGTCTGCGATGGATGTCACTTAAAGTATATGGAGCTGATTGCGAGTTTTTGGGAAAAAAAAATAACGTAGAAACTATAGCATTTTTCGATCGCATGGTGTTCTTCCAACCTCAGTAAAGTGTACTAAGAGCAAGACTGAATGTAAATATCGCAAAGACCAACATATGTGGCGTTGTGTAAGAATCCCAGAATGCAACGACGAACAAGAACCAGGCCAATAAGGTAAGAAATAGGTGATTCCATCATATGGTGAGAGTCAGTTAGGTTAGGTTTGGTTATTGTTTTTCTAGTGCTTTATTGTGTATTTGTTAGTCGCTTAGGCACCTTTTTTTCTCGGAAAACGTCAAACGAAAAAATCGCTAAAAAAAAAAGGCTAATTTCTGCCAAAAAGGAAGGTAATATTTGGTCTCAGCACACAAATACACTAGAAAAATATATTTTTAATTTGCTACAAGTGAACGGAGCTACAAGAAAAATTTACCGAAAATTAACTAAAGTACAGTATTACTATGCATGCAATCCTGAAAGATATAATTACAAAAGTGTGTATATAAAATTTCTATGTTACACAAAAAACGTATTTACCAAAATATCATTTTGATTGGATGTTGAGTTGGCAGGTACTTACCATAACTAACTCTGTGGTAAACTAAAGTGATAGCCTGGAGAGATGACCTCCAGTAAGGTTCATGGGCGGGGCTCTGGCTCTTGGGGGAGTTTGTGTTCTGAAACAAAAGATTTTGATGAAATAGGGAGGTGTCATGTTCTATATGGTGGTTAGTATACGTATACAGTATTTACAATTACTTGGCAAACTGAATTATGTTTTGTTTTCGTGCATAGAACCCAATTCCAATGGGGTAGCAACAAAAGAGAGCTTTGAATTTAATGAAGTTAATAAATAAAAGGCAAAGCAGATGGGAGGATTTTTTCCTTTCGGTTGAGATTATCTGGGTAGGTCTCTCTCTCTTTCTGTCTCATTATTGTGAGATATATTAAGGGCTACAGAAACTTTCATAAATGATGGTTGTAATAAGAATTGTGCAAGACAAGATAGTGACAGGAAAGGTGGAGTACAGTATACGTGATAATTGTGACAGGAAAGGTCTTGTCAAACAGACATTATCACATATACTTACCCAAACCCTCGACTTAGATAACCAATACTGTGTACAAATGAAATATTTTATATCCCTTATTGATACAGTGTGTTGATAAAATGGGTGTGTTGGTCATACTCTTAAGAGATGTTAACAGATATTAGTGAGTAAAGTCAAAGGTAGGAGAACCAGAGGAGAGCAGAGACAGAGTTGGGTTAATGGGTTTATACGAGTGTTCCCCAGAGATAAGATATGTGGGTGAATTGATAAAGACAGCTCAAATATGCTCTGATAAATAGGGTGTGGTCACCAACCTTCAGACCCGAGGATGGTACAGTATTTTGATTACTGTATTGGGCACATGTGCAATAAGCTAGGGGTCTGATCTTCACATGATCCAAATAATGTTTCTGCACATGCAAAGCAAACTATCACAGCAATGTGTAAATACTGTACTGTATCTGATGACTTTTGGATGTTTAGCTCTGGTAAAGTGTTCCATATGGTTTTGTTTAATGTACACTACTGTCCTCTTCAGGCATCTTGTTTAAGCCAGGAAAAGGCAGCCCATGCTTGATTTCAGCATAGTAAACCATCTTGTTATACTGTATACAGTACAAAGGAATATGAACATTTTGCATCTGCTATTATTGATAACCATTACAGTTCTTAAAAAAAATAGGTACGCGGACAGATAAAAATGAACGTTCTTATTTAAATTTCATTGTGGAATGTACAGTAGTTATGAATTAATAACAAATAAATATAGAGTACAGGTACCTGTATATACTGTACAGGAACTATAAGGAAACTGGGTAATTTACACCTGTACTGTAATAGAATATCCTGGCTGAGTTAACCAGTCCTGCATCAGTCAGGTTCTACTCTTCCCTTATGTGCTTTCTCCTTCCAGTCCAGACTTCAGTAGTGCTATTAGACCTCACCCAAACCTGCCACTGCCCATACTTTCTCCTGTGGTGGGGGGTCATAAAGGTGCTTGATTATTTTCTAAATGTCTTGTGTTGACCACTACCTCGGCAAGCTGGTTGTCTGAACGCTTTGATAATACTGTATACTATGTACTTGTATTTATGAAGGTTCACCAGCAATATTCATTAAGTGCTGAAGAAATTTACTCATTGGTTCATCTGACTGGTTGATTGATACTTACTAATGTCTTGAGCAGGAATGATGCCTTTTAAATTTAAAAAAAATTACACAGGTACAGTAATTACAGTACATAAAACTTTCTGTAGATAAGAGAGAACAGTACAGGACTGAGGTACAGACTATCGATCTTCACTTCTCGCTTAATTGTTTGTTTGATGGCATCATTTCTGATATGTTACTTTCTAATGCTCAAAGGCATTTACAACACCCAATAAGGAAGCATGTGGACTTCATGCTTTCGTTCATGACTCGTGCATGAACGCAAATCCAAGAGGATTATAAAAAAAAAACATGGTGGCTACGTCAGGGTCTTGTCTAAAATAACTAAATTTTTACGTCTGCCATAGCATATTCCTCCCCAGTCCTTCCATAACTCCACTACAGCTATGTCCTCTATGGCCCACCACCTCTCCTGTTACAGTATCTTGTTTACTCTACGCTTGTCTTGCCTCTCACTTTCCCTGACACAGTTCAATCTGCCTCCACACGATAACCACTCACTCCACTGATTAAGGTGCACCACCCTTTAACACCCTCTCTGTTTCCTGTATAGTACTTAAGTCACCTTGCCCATCCAAGAATCAAATCGACTTGAGGTAATTATCTTTTAATCTTCTCTTTAATTTTCTCTTTAAGCTGAAGAAAATCATGAGGTGGTAGTCAGAAATGGAATGCTAAAGGGTTAAGGGCAGAGAAAACATCCTAGACTAATGCTAAGTGAGACCACCCAATACAGCACCATTGAGGATGTCTTTACAGCACTATTTCTCTTGAGATTTTGTAGTAGTAGTGTACTGTGTATTGTACACAGATTTTAGCATATACAGTATACTTAAATAGTCACTGACTGTTTCTGCACTTTATGAATACCAGTGACTGAATTAATACTGTACAAGGCCATTGGCTAAAGGGATTTTATTACATGCTAGTTGTGGTCATTGGTAAAACCTGAATAAGGCGAGTTATCTGCTCAAACTGTACAGCACAAAATTAATAACTTCTCCATTGAGAATTTTTTGGTTAATTCATCCATAATAAATGTGTTTTTGAAGACTTAATACTCGTAAACCTTAGGAAGTATCAACATTTCTCAAATGCTTTATAATACCGGCAGGTTGTGTAGGTAGCTTGTGTTAATACAGTACTATAGTTGTAAACGTTGTCACTAGCACCTACATACATTGTTGCGGCTGGGCAGTTTTGTTTTGATGTTTTACCAGAAGACACTTAACGGTTTAAGAGTTTCTGTATATTTTATTTTGTAATGTTTTACACCTTTAAATACTGATAATCATCAATTTTAATATTTCACAGAATAAAATGGCCCCTCCAGTATATGCTGACCTCGGCAAGTCTGCCAGAGATGTTTTTGGCAAGGGCTACCACTTTGGCCTCCTCAAACTTGAGTGTAAGAGTAAAACCAGCACTGGTGTAGAAATCACAGCAGGTGGCTCCAACGCCTTGGAGTCTGGCAAGGTCGCTGGCAACCTTGAGACCAAGTACAAGGTGAAGGAGCATGGTGAGTAGCAGTCACTTTACAGCCTCTTGTAACCTCTTTTATCATATCTCACATTTGGTGTCAAAAATTTTTTTTCCCCCAAATAAGTTATGCTATACTGTACTGCACATTGCTTTATTTCATTTAGTGAGATAGTTCTGTATAGTCCATTGTTTAATTGTTCAGAAACTGCTGTTCTTGCCGTCATTATTATATACAATACAAGATATATGTTGCTTTTATTCTTATTTTTCAAAATCGATTTTGCAAAATGGTGGCAATGATGTTGGTAATTTAGCAAAATAACTTGTAAATGGGTTTGAATAAATTATAAAAGTAAGGTTAGGACGGCATATAGTCCAAAGTGTGTGTGTGTGTGTACGTGCAGTCCCCGACTGGGTTAGGGACCCAAATCCAGGCCGTAAGTCGAAAATGCAAAAAACAATACATAGAAAATCTAAAATGAAATACAGTACAGTAAAAGTAATGACGAATGAATACAGTGTTACTGTGCACTTACCTTTAATGTAGTTAGCTGAATGCACACGGGGCCCCAATAATTTTTTAATTTAACATGGAGACTACATTAATTGGATGAAGCAGAGGAGGAGACAGGGCTGGGTGGGTCATCAATGTCGCTTTCTTCAGACAGGTTAACATACAGGGGATACTTGCTTGTTGAAGGTATTGGATCATCTTTAGGGAGTGAAGAGGCAGCACTGGTGGGGCGTGAGGAGACAGCAATGGGTGACTTCTTGAAATAGATGTCTAATTTAGACTGCACAGTTCGCATTTTCTTTTCATTATAAATTTCTCTGTAGCAAGCAAGTGCATCTTGGATCGTTCTGTCAACTTTGGCATAACGCTCATAATTTTGATCCATGCCATCAAACATTTGCATTGCTTTATTAATTGTAGCAAATGCCTCTGCTGTATGTTTCACTGAAAACTTTTTAGGGGGTGCAGGTTCTTCTTCTACATATTGTCTCTTCTTCCTCTGCAATTTTCTGTGCATCTAGTTCAATAAGATCCTTGTTACTGAGCTCTTCTGCTACACTTTCAACCAACTGTCCAATATCTTCATTATCAATTTCTAACTCCAGCTGTTTACCTAACTGCACTATCTTTTTACTAATATCCGAAATAACTTCATTTTCATTAAATCCTTTGAAACTGCACATATCTTTTCAGGATTTTCTTCCATATTCCATTCATGCAATGTTTTGTAACCTGATCCCATGCTGCACTAATGTTCTTTATACTGTACATGACAAAATGTTGTACTCCTTCCAAAACTCTCTGAGCGTTTTCTCACCTTCAGTAGCAGCAACAGCCTAAGCAAAGGTCGCGCGTAAATAATACGCTTTAAAGGCAGAAATAGCACCTTGATCCATGGGTTGGATGATAGAGGTAGTGTTAGGTGGAATGTACACTACCTTAACATCAGGGTGCATGTCGTCCAGGTATGGTGGGTGTCCCGGAGCATTATCCAAAATCAGTAAAATTTTGAATGGAATCTGTTGGTGCAGACAATACTCCTTGGCTTGTGGAATGAAACAAGTCATGAACCAATCCTCAAACAGTACTAGGGTCATCCAGGCTCTCTTATTACTGCTATAAAACACTGGCAGTGTGTGCTTGCTGACATGTTTTAAAGCCCTGGGGTTCTCTGAATGATAGATCATGAATGGCTTTAGCTTGAAACCAGCAACATTCCCCCCCAACAGAAGTGTAATTCTGTCCTTGAATGCCTTGAATCCGGGCATTGTTTTCGCCTCTTTGTGGATGTATGTCCGCTCAGGCATGCGCTTCCACAATAATCCAGTGTCATCCACATTGAATGTTTGCTCAGGCAAATAATTCCCTTGCACGCTTCTGTATCTGGTCTTCTATCCATATCTCCAATAATTTTTCCATGTCGTGAATAGGACCTTGTCTTCTCTTTGATATTATAGTTCCCTTTATAGGTGTTGTTCCTTTCACTACTTCACGAATACGTTCCTTGTCCTTCAGAATAGTGGATATAGTCGAGTGTGAGAAACCTAGGTCACGTGAGATTGTTGCTACTGTTTTTCCATTCTCATGCTATGTTATCATCTTCATTTTCATCTCAAAAGTAATTGCCTGTCTCCTTTTCCTTGGAACACCACCAGCACTCTCACTTTTACGCTTTCCAATCATTATAAAGTCAATTAAATACGATAATAACGAAAGTTCACAGCGCGATCAGTATAGGATACGATAGCCAAACACAAACTGCTCCACTGAGTGAGTGTACCCACGAGGCGACCCGAGACGCGTCACCCACTCGCCAAGGACGGAAACGTTTCGGTATAGAAAATGCGCGCGTCATTTGAAAATATTTTTGGTCATGACTGCCGCGGTCGTATGTCCCGACGGATGTACGGTCAAAGCAGGTCGTAAGTACCAATGGACGTAAGTCCATGTGGTCGTAAGTCGGGGTCTAGCTGTGTGTGTATATATATATATATATATATATATATATATATATATATATATATATATATATATATATATATATATATATATATATATATATATATATATATATATATATATATATATATATATATATATGTGACTGTTTTGTCAACCTAACCTATATAATCATAAAGTTAGGTTAGGTTGACCTTTTTGCAAGATATTTAGTAAAATAACTGATTCCCCCCTCTTTAAAAAAAAGTTTCTTTCAATCTTATCCCAATAATTTATTCTTTCCTCAAGTATTTTCTAACTGTGGGTACACACTTGCCACAACAAGTTCTCAAACACACTAAAGGTCATACAATACAATAATGCAAAATGAACGAGAAATCTGACCATCGCTGTTTGGAGAAGTTTTATTACAAATTAAGCTACTTCTTTTCACCTGTATACAGGTAACTCGCATTTGATTTAAGTGTTTTTGGAATAACGCGATTGTTCAGTTAATTCCAAAAGCTAATCTGCGCTCACTTATTTTTGAAATAACGCGCTCAAGACAGTTTAAGTTTGCCGCTCGTATTCGCCTGGCAGTGAAGTCGCGTGTGATGCTTGGTGAGGTGCTTGTAAGTTATGATTATAAAGTCGCAGTCATATCAACGCTTATAATATAATTATTAATAATTATAATAATGTACACCATGATAAAGATTATTACTACTAATGATGAAAATAATGATAATGAAGTATTCTGTACAACAATTGTGATGACATCCAGCAAGCTTCCCGCGTATCGCTTTCTCAGTTCACACCAGTACCATTTTTTCTCTGTGCTCTTATTTGCGTTGTGTTTGTCACATACCATTTTAGTGTTAAGCGCTGTTTTCCCCATTGAGCATGTCTGGAAAACGTCCATCTGCCTCCTCTCGGGCGTCTAAAGCTAAAAAGGCACGGAAAACAATCGCAATGGACTTGAAATTAAATGTGATCACCCGTCTTCAGATAGGAGAGTGTGTCAGAGGTTGGACGCTTGCTTGGTTTAAGTGAGAGCACTGTTCATACCCTGTATGGTATATGATGATTCTCCTAACCTGTACCATTTACATGTATTCGTATGGGAAAATTACCGGTATGTTTAATTTATGCGTTAATGAATTAAGCGGTGGTTTTCAAGAACGTAACCCCTGCGTAAAACGGAGGTGGGTGCATATTATAAAGATGAGCAACATTCAGTCTCTCTTTGACTTACGACAACCCGGACATATGACGGCCATGGTCGTATAAAATATTTTTCACATTACGTATTTTCGAGTCCCGACGTTAGTGATCGCGCTGTGTACTGACAAAATTTTCGTTTGTAATTCCCTTTAAAATGGCTGGCAAGCGTATAAGTGAGAGTTCTCGTGGTGCCGAGAAGAAAAAGAGACACCCATTTAAGAATTTCTACGTATTATTTTCGCCTTTTCGATTTACTACCTGGTCGTCGGGACAGAACCCCGTCGTAAGTCGAGGAGAGACTGTATATTATTACGAAACAAAATATTGAGTCCCTTCACAACCAGCCATACTAATCATTTTCAGATGACACCAGCCATAATGCTCATTCTGAAGTCTGTCGTGTCCAGCTAGTTGAGAACTTTTTGTGGCGAGTGTTCCCATATTAGGCTGAGGGAAGGAGTGTCATCATCTGGCCCTCAAGAAAAATTTTGTAGAGGGCAAATTATTATTACTATAATTTTTTCTTTTATAATTCATCTGTTCTAGTAATTACTGTATAGTTTACCATCACCAAGTTCATCATAAAGAATTTGACTTAGTATTGTTGTCTATTTATTCATTAAATTTATTGAACTGCAAAGATAAAGTTAATGTGTGGAGGAAGAAGAGGAATGTAAATCAAGTTGGTTGTAATTCAGAGCAGGACGTCAGAAGGTCGAGTAATATTGTTGTTGGTAGGACAAGACTGACAGGAACAGATGTGAAATTTACTATATTAGTCTTATATCTAACAGTAGTTGAGAAATAGTCATGAGTAGTTTTTGGGTTCAGATAAGATAGTGAGGAAGAAAAGGGAAGATGTGTCTAGATAGAAGTTAATTCACTATACAGTATATGTAAAGGGTGATACAGCTCAGCATGAACTCAACTTAGTGACTTGCGAGTTACTTATTAACATAGAATGACCAGCTTATGATCCTCCTCCTTCCCCTTTTGTGTTTATACATACATATTAAAAGATACTTATATAACCTTGAAATGGTTCATAAATTTTAGAATAGCTTTTGAATGGGAGATAAAGTCATACAGTACTATCATGCATATGATTAAAGTAGAGTACATAGGTTGGTCATTTTCTTTCCTGTAAGGTTTGAATATAGCTAAGTATTTAAATGTATTAACATTTCATTTGATTTTCAGGGTTGACATTCACGGAGAAATGGAACACAGACAACACCCTGAACACAGAAGTTGCATTGGAAGACAAGGTTGCCAAGGGTCTTAAGCTTGTCCTCAACACCACTTTTGCTCCACAGACAGGCAAAAAGTCTGGAGTGCTCAAATCAACATACAAGACTGATGCTTTGTCAGTCAACCTCGATTCCACATTGGATCTTGGTGGCCCAGTTGTAAATGGTGCCGGTGTGGCCAGCTACAAGAACTGGCTCGTTGGTTATCAGATGTCCTTTGATACTGCCAAGTCCAAGCTCACCAAAAATAACTTTGTTGTTGGATTCACCAACCCAGACTTCATTCTCCACACATATGCCAATGATGGAGCTGAATTCGGCGGTTCCCTCTTCCACAAAATTAATCCCGAATTGGAGGGTGCCGTCGACTTGGCTTGGGCTGCCGGGTCTAACACCACACGTTTCTCAATCGGTTGCAAGTATTCCCTGGACAAGGATGCTGCTGTGCGAGCTAAGGTGAACAACTCCTCACAGATTGGCTTGGGCTACCAGCAGAAGGTGCGCGATGGTATTACTCTGACTCTCTCCACCCTCATTGACGGAAAGAACTTCAACCAGGGTGGGCACAAGGTTGGTCTGGCCATGGAGTTGGAGGCCTAAGTTATGTGAAGGTTGTAGCTGCTGGGTTCTTGTGACCACCACATGATGAATATTCCTGGTGAGAGTTAAAAGGGAGCCAGGGACACAGGGCTCTGCTTAGGGTGAACTGTTCTGATGGTGGCAGCCCCACTTGCCCCATTATTGCAGCCAAGTGTCCATATACGCCAAGTCCTAGATTCCAGTAGTGTAAATGAGCGTTGTACATTAAACATTTACCTGAGCGTTGTACATTACTCAAGATTTTTATTCTCTCGGGTTGGCGACTACCACGAGTTGTAACTTGTCTTGCAGCTATGGAGTTGATTTATGTCTTAATAAAATGTCCTAAATAAATTTAAAATGGTCATGAACAAGTTTTCTTACCACTTACCATAAACATAAAATATGTAAATCTGATAACACTTATCATATTGTGACAAATTTTATCTAAACATTATCAAACATTTTACATGCTTAAGCTTGGTTGCTTATTGTACCCTATATAGTCCTTTGAATTCCCTCATATGTGTCCACAGTTGATGTGCAAACCATAACCTCCAAACCACCACCACCACCACCACTACTACTGTCAGGTTTATGCCTATGCCTTAGACGTGCCCTTTTGCATTTGTTCACTTCACCTATACAGATTATCTGTTGCTTTTGTACCCTTGATAATTCTTTACTTAAGATACATTTGCTGTTCTTTGTGGTTGTAGTGATATAGTATTGTTTAGTGTCCTAATTCGCAGTTTGTGAAATCTTTTTCTAAGTTTTTATTATATAATTTCCTTTTAAATTATAGCTTTCATCTTTTAGATCCAAATACTTTTTATATCTATTAAAATACTTTGACAATACTGTATCTGGAAAACTGTTCACCCAGTTATCCATTACATGTTCATTATGATAACACTGAAGTTAGTGTTACTGTAAGTAAAGGTAGGTGGAAGCAGTACCTGTTTTTGAGCCGAGATGTACATAGAACAGCTGTAGTCACTCGCTGAATAAACTGTGCAAGTCATCCCAAGTGAATGGGAAAAATTCTGCTCGGTATTTAGCTCGGATTTATTTCTTTAGAATGAGAAATTAAGACATGACAACAATAGGCACATTTCCTGCTAATGTGTCCTGCATATTTCATGCCATTGTTATATATTTCTGTTATTTACCTTGTGTATAAATCACTATCTTCCTTATCAGTTGGAATGTCATAATCATCATCATCATCCTCAAACAACTGAAGGCATCTTCCTTAGTGTTTAATCTTCCCAGGCTTCTTGAATCAACCTGTGTACCCACCCAGGCTTTATCTGCTTTTGTCTCGGTTTGCTTACTTTACCCTTATTCTGCATTCTAGATGAACTAGTTTGTGGAGTTGAAGCTTTTGCCTCGTGTACTTTCAATAAATCTTCTAATATGTTGCCTCTGTTTTTATCCTGATGTTGCAGCATTTATTTAAAGGTGGTGATGGTTATATTGTGCTTATTAGTGTTATACTGGATGATTTGGTGTAGTACTTTTGTGTTAAGGTCCAAAATATTATCAGGTGCTGTACAAATGCTTCTCCTACATGCTTCACCTTCTGTACTGCTGCATGTTACTGCTATATAGATTTTGCAATTTATCCGATTTATTTTATTACATAATTTTTGTCGAAATAAACAAATCAGACCTAATGACGTGCTTGCCAAAACAGTAACCGGTATACAACACCCACACACTACTGTGACTCGAACTCTTAAGTTACATAACTCGTTAGCTTTTACATAATGCATTAACAGATACATAAAAGTAATTAGTATAATGATTTAAAAGTTACAATTTGCAGTTACCTGTATCTACCTCATATACTGTACTGTAGTTACTCCCTTGGTTATCTATCTTCTCTCCCTCTCCCCCTCATATTCCAATACTCATTATTCATCACCGAGTACTAATCTAAGTTCTTTGACTGAGAAAAAGAATAATGTAAGAAATATTTACAGTATTAGTTTTATGACCGAAGAAAGAGAAATGAGAACCAATATAAAGTTAAAGTAAATCAAAGTATGGTTTGAGTTAAAGAAAGTGAATAAATACAAAACTTACAGAATATTGGAATGGTTAGAAATATTTATAAACAGCTTTATTTGGGTATTATTTTACGGTTTTAGTAAATAACGAATAATTTAATTACAAACTAGTTTAAGAATAAGATCAGTTTTACAAAAAAATAAATAAATAAAACCATCATTACTAATATAAATATGACAAGCATACTGTACACTAATTACTGTCAATGCTAAGAAATATATATATGTACAGTAAACTGAGCAAGTGGCTCAATTGAAGTCACTTGGTGGGGGCTAATTATTACACCATATGTTTGTCTGCTGTACAAGCATTACACTCGGTAAACATAGTAGGCAAAATGGCCCTTCAGATTTTGACATCTATTCGTATTTTTTTTTTATTGTTTGGCAGAGATAATTTAATAAGAGAATGGTTACAACGTTAATAAAGAGAGAATTCCAGAGAACTGAGACCCCCAGGTACCAAACATAAGGGTAATGAATAAGGTCTTTAATGCGTGTACTTCAGTTCATCCACAAGACGTTAACAAGTAAAAATTTAAAGACATCACCTTTGTTCTTTTTCCATCAAACCACAGCAGTTAAAACCCCAGTAAGCGCGTCATACTCAAGGACGTTATAAATAAGACCCTCAGAAGGTTACGTCAGACACCGTGAAGTAGGGAGGGAGCCTGGGGAGTGAAGTCCTTCCCCAGTTGGCTGACAACGCAAACTATTGATTTCCCGCTCAGATTGGAGGCTAAAGGAAAAATTTATTTGGCTAGGATATGTAACATCGCCATTACCACCCTTGTCTACTTCTGTGTTACCCAAAGTAGTCACGTTCATAAGATAGACTAGCCTACGTTAGGTTACTTGAGATAAAAATATTTTGGGAGTGCTAATGGCAGTATAGTACCTCTGAGGATGCAAAAAAAAAATAAAAAATCAAGACAGACCTCATGTTAAGTTAGTACAAATATAAACTACAAATACAGTAACTCCAAATTACGTGAGAGGAGGGTGAGACACTAGTTAATATACTGTACGTTAATCAGCATGTTCCATAAGCTGTTTCTCCTGGGATAATCAATGTTAACCATACACCGTCAGTGACACGTACTCGTTTTTTATATGATGATATAACACAACAAGCCATCAACTATAAAAATTTACTGACATAACTAATTATTAACTATAGGATCTTCCATCTTTTGGGTTCATTTTGATATTGTGACGAATACTCTATCACAACCACTTCTAATTAAGGTTAAATAGGCAATTTTCTTTCTCTAATAACTGCTTAAAAGACGAGTAAAGAAGGCCATTATTTCTAACATATATACAATACTAAATTTACATATACTTAAAATTAAAAGAAAAATTCGGGGTAGATATTATTGAGAACCCTCCGTATGGCAGACTAGCTGGCGCCAAGGGATACCTCGAACCAGAGACATACTGTATAGAGACAGAAAGACTGAGACAAAAGGATAGATAAACAGATAAATAAAGACAATCAACAAGAGATGAGATATGGATAAATCGTTAGAATAATAGAGATATCCCAGGCGGTGCAGAGAGAGATAGCTGAAGGTAAAATCGTCAGAATAGTATGGAATACCACTAGGTATTAGACAGACAGCTTAGCTAGATAGATAGATAGACAAACAGCTAGATACAGACAGATAACTATAGATTGATACAGCTAGACAAAAATATATAGATTGATAGATAGACTGACAGATATATAGAGATAGATGTAGATTAAATCTCCAGTTACCACTGTATAAATCACGTACCAGTTGAGAGGCGAAGTAAACACAGTGGTTGTGTGAATATTGGGACACATATTGCAGATGTATGTGTGTGTGTGTCTGAGCGTCGTGTGTGGCTGCTTGTAGCAGATGCAGGTAGTGGGGTATTAAGCTTGAGAGAAAAGTTATCTCTGAAGCTTACAACTCCACTACCTGCATCTGCTGCTTGTGAGCGTCTGTTTAGTCATGCTAGGCTTATTATTTATTATTTAATTAATTTATTACACCCCAGGGGGCGACAAGCCGTCACAAGACCATGCAGTCAGGTGTCAGACGAGTACATTGGTATCGTGTCTCGCAGGACACGCGAAGCTTGTGATATGGTAACAATACTGATATGATTTAAGGACAATGGGAGTTAGCACCCACCAAAGTGTGGGTAGCGTACAAAAATTAAATCCAAATTATTACGAACAAGTAGGTGGTGACCTATAGTGGTCAGTGACTCGTCCTGTGGCAGGTCAAGGGTGTAGCGTTGGGACAGTTACAGAGTTTACAGGAAGAGAAGTGCGGGTCATCCCCGCCTCAGATACTTGCCAGATAGGCCTGTATCCTAACTAATGCAAGCAGAGGCATTATCTCTGCGGACCACAAGTCCACGTCGACGATACTTGCGTGGATAAGGATATTTTCAGCGATGGATTGTAGGGGGAAGAGCAGGTAAACGTATACTATTTCGGGAGGTCATGCTGGGCTTATATTTAGTCCTAAAAGATCCTGATTGGACAGCCGTAATTTCGAAAATCAGTAATTGATTGATCTCAATATAAAGCTTTGCAAATAAACATGTGTAATGCTATGTGACTTTTATTTTTATCTTTAGTTAGCTAGTTTTTCATAATTTACTGTGAATTTATTTTAATATTTGGGACAATTTAATAATTTTGTTACTTTTTACTTTCAGTACTTGAATACTTTGAGACATTTTTTTTTACTTCTACTTGAGTAACATTTTGCCAATGTAACTACTTTTATTTAAGTAACAAAGTCCGGTACTTTTTACAACGCTGAGAGAGAGAGAGAGAGAGAGAGAGAGACCATAAATGCGCATGAGTGTGCCTGGAGAGTGCTTGTCTGCGCATGAGCGTCTAGGAGTGTGCATGCGTGTGGTAGTGCGTGCGTACATGAAGTGTATACCAGTGCTTAATAGTTCTTACGTACCTATATGTGTGTCTCCTCCAGCGTGCATGTGAATGAAAGTCAGCACCGTGAGCACTAGCGTAGCTAGGGGGGGGCGGGGGGGCGGTCCGCCCCGGGCGGCACTTTTGGGGGGGCGGCACTTTTGGGTCTGCTCATCACCCATATCTGCAGCTACTGGAGACGTTAATCCATCCCTTTGTATCGGCGGCAAGTTAATCCTTGTCGTGTCTGACCTAACACCTGACCCACATCATCACGGCCACGTCATGAGCTACACCCTTGCTATGCGGCCCCCCCGCCACACACACAACCTGTAACCTGTTGAGGATTAAGGAAACAACTTCAAACAAGTACGCCAGTGAGCTCATGTGGTGTGGGTCAGGTGTTAGGTCAGATACGACGAGGATTAACTTGCCGCCGATACAAAGGGAAGGATTAACGTCTCCAGTAGCTGCAAAACCATGCAGTCTCGGGTCATATAAGTTCATGTACAGCCGACCAATCCACCAGTTACAAGCAATTCACTTCAGTTCTGCACAAGTCTCCATCGTGACAAGACGAGGGGAGGCTAGACGACTTTTAAGTTCTCTTGTGTTTTCGATCCAGTTATTTACTTCGTTGGAAGACATAATACTATAAGGTAAGAAATATTAAAGTATTGGTTAAAAAATATTGATGTGACTTTTGCTGCGGTACTGAGATTAAATATTAAGATTTTGTTTCACAGCATTGCGATTTTATACTAAGACACTATCCTCACTGGGGTACAGACAAAAGCCCCCCCGACAAAAGCCACCCAGACAAAAGCCCCCCAGACGAAAGCCACCCAGACAAAAGCCATATACTTTGATCGGGGTGGCTTTTGTCTGACAACAGTAAGGCAAACTATTTAATATATATATATATATATATATATATATATATATAGAGTGAGTCACTGTGCAATATGTATTTTTTGTAGGGTCACGGGGGGGGGGGCGGCAAACTCAAGGGCCGCCCCGGGCGGCACACACTCTAGCTACGCCACTGACCGTGAGGCGGGCATGCGTCGTGGAGTGGTGGCTGGTTGATGCTACGGTGTGTCAGTAGCTCCCAGCGTCCAGCATGGACGGCGTCGCTGCCAAATGTAAGTCATTTTATCCTCCGTAATAGAGCGTGTGAAGGCTTACGTGTATACTTAAGTAGCTGGGGGTGTAGGCAGTGAATCTTTGTTTAGTCCTGATATAAATTTTGAGTGTGACATTCATTTGTTTGGAGCTTAAACACAGAACACGGCTCCACGTATCCAAACACCTTCCAGCAGCTTGCTCGATATCCTGCAGGATGGAGAGTGATTATACCGTGAAGTGAGATGCAATGATTTGTAATTATAATGACTGTATCAGTCATGTGATGAATATCGTATAATTATAGTGCTTCTAAGACGAGACAGTGTTACAGAACTATATACATTACAGCAAGAAGCATCAAGTGGCTGGCAACAGTGTCCTTTTGAGATCAATAAAACACCAATGAGTCAACCTCTTACTGGAGACAACATCTGACTCGTGCATGTGTTAACCAAGGCTTATATTAAACACTGTCTTAAGGATAAGCCATAATGTGCACGTCCAGATAACGAATTCACGTCTGACAGGGTACTGTCACCCTTTTACCGCAGTGCAGTGTTATCACCCCCCCCCCTTCCCGAGCACGAACACCACTTTCAGGAATTAACTTTAACATGTATTCCTTTGAATCACAGGAATTAATGATGGTCTTGTGTGTGTGTATGTGTTTGTTGTACTCGTGATTAGAAGATATATTGGATTCACGTAACTTGAACCAGACACTATTACTACTACTATTATTATTACATATATAGCTACTATTATTACTCCTACTAATAACAATAATCCTTTACAATACGTTACGAGCCGTCCATGTTACACACTGATACTATACAGTGGCTTCTTCAACCTTGAGCTTTGTCCCCTTGTGGGGCGGAAGTCCGCCAGCTCCAGGTATGTACACTCGACTGAGTAGTGCCCTCTGAGATGTTTATGCACTTCGATTAGGTCACAGGCGGGAAAGGGGTGACCTAATTGATGTGTATAAACATCTCAGGGAGCACTACTCAATCGAGAGTTCTTAGTTCTTACCTGGAGTTGGCGGACGCCCGCCCCACAAGGGTCGCAGCTCAAGGTTGAAGAAGCCGCACCTTAACCACAAGTTCAGAAAACTGTGAGGGGTAACTTTTTCGGAGTGAGAGTTGTAAACTCTTGGAACAATCTGCAAGAGAGTGTTGTGACGGCACCGAGTGTGAGCTCTTTCAAAACCAGACTTGACAAGCACTGGAGCAGGTTCAGATACATTCAGGAGTCAGTGCATTCCCAGTACTTGCCATACGTGCGTAACAGACACGTCACCAAGCAGCTAACGAGCCGACCAGTGGTGAAGAGGATAAAAGTAAAAGTAAAGCAATATACAGTATAAGGAATTAATTAAGGTACTGTACTATACTTTGGTTTACTCAGGTTGTTTCTGGACGCAGGTGATTCCTATACTGTATAACCATCTTGGTGTTTGGTTCGTCCTGACTTGTAATTCTTGGTCGCAGCAGTACTGTCAAGCTGTTCCAGATGTCAACAATCTACTGGGTGAACTGGTGTCGGCGCATTTTCGTATTAGCTCTGACTATAAATTGTGTATTGGTGACCTCTGGAACTATCAACTTGGTGTCGTGGATTTATTAAGTTTAGTTTTATTTCTCTGTCGTAGAATCCATGTATAATCTATTAGCTACGGGTTGGTACAGTGCAGTATTACGAGATGTCTGAGTCTTTCTTTCTTCATCTAATCTCTAGTATCAGTTTTGTTGACCGTCTTTGCGCATTTACCTTTTCCTTAGTGGACTCCAGACCGATAGCTAATACTTTAAATGTGGTCTTACTAATGATTTAAATAACCATGTAGAGTTGTTTTGGCGTAGATTCATAAAATATCTAAAATTATTCCCCTCATCTTATTAGCCAGGATAACTCCTAGACGTAGTTCCTCTTGTTAGGGGATACTACTCGCGAATTAACCTGTAACTGCCTTATAATGTACCTTGACTTATGTGACCTTGTCCTTCATAACTAGATTCTTCCTCGAACTGCTCACCAAGTCCAGTCTTAAAGGTGAGGTGGAAGAGGTGGGCAGTGAGGAGCCTCATCACATTACTGCCCTAATGAATACCTTAGACGTAATAAAGGATAAGTTGATGGCTGTCTCAGCTTAATCTTTGCCTCACCTGGGTGTAATTGAGCTCTACAGCCTCCTCACACCTGTGGACTTGAAGAAATGTATGTGTGTGCATATACTGACTCACTAATACGAGAGGGAATGGAAGGGGAGGTGAGATGGTGAGGGTGATGGAAGGGGGATGAGGGTAATGGAAGGGGAGGTGAAGTGAAGGGAAGTTAGAGGTTACAGCATGACGGGAGGGAAGTGGAGAGCTACACACACACATACACACACAGTCCCTCAGCCTTCATAGGGTAAGGACGTGTGTATTCGGCGCTGCCCGCTCACGCGGCCATGGTCTCTTGATCATGGAGACAGCTGCCAGCCCGGTCTGTCGGGCCCTCCGCTCCCCATCTCCTCCTTCCCATCTGCATTTATCAACATCCTCACACCAACAGTACAGTGCAAAGATTGACGATCAACCCACAAGTGATATACAAAAGTGGCAATTTCAACTGGAAGGAAAAGCACAAAAACACAGCAATACTGAGTGTGGCTGGATCTGACCTGACCTCACGGCTTCACCTGACCTAACCTGAAGGATGGAGCACACCTGCATTGCCCCAAGCTACTGTCCTGGCCATTTGGCCACACACCTGCCCAGCTGCATCCAGCCCATACGAGCACGAACTGACTGCTACAAGAACAGCGCAGTCTCAACCTTTGTAAATATCAACACCTAATTATTATATATCATATTTGTATCACTTATGTTACTTGTGCATCATTTGTAAATCAAGAGAACCATTCCCCAATTATGTAATTGTATATTTTCAACCTTCTGGCTGCCATGCTCTTTCAATAAACCGTTAATTATAATTATTTATTTTACACACACACACACACACACACACATACACACACACACCTGGAGGACTGGTATAGTGAAACATTAATTAAGAGTGTTTGTTTGTGTCTCTATAATTGACAGGTCGTAGTTGGCTGGCGTTGAGATGGTTGGTGGTGGCGGCTGTCCTCATCACGGCGTGGATGACGGTAGCTACAAGTGGCAGCCATTTCTCCTTCACACGATCAAGGGGTGAGTCCCGCTTTATAACATCACAGGAAATAACAGACTTTTTGCCCTAAGTTTATTTTCCCTGAGTCATTTAGGTGTTATGTTACTTGGTGCAGCCATTGGCCTTCATCATTATAAGGCTTTTGAATATTTAGTGGGGTAATTTTTTCCTCTTACGGGAGTGGGTGAGACCATCTAAGAACAAAAAAAAGTTGTTCTGCTGGTGCTGAAGAAGGCGCCTTGGTGTAATGCTGAAGAAGGCACCTTGGTTTAGTGCTGAAGAAGGCGCCTTGGCTGTAGTGCTGAAGAAGGCGCCTTGGTATAGTGCTGAAGAAGGCACCTTGGTATAGTGCTGAAGTCACCTTGGTTTAATGCTGAAGAAGGCGCCTTGGTGTAGTGCTGAAGAAGGCACCTTGGTGTAGTGCTGAAGAAGTCACCTTGGCTGTAGTGCTGAAGAAGGCGCCTTGGTGTAGTGCTGAAGAAGTCACCTTGGTGTAGTGCTGAAGAAGGCACCTTGGTGTGGTGCTGAAGAAGGCGCCTTGGTGTAGTGCTGAAGAAGGCACTGGTGTGGTGCTGGAAGAAGTCACCTTGATTGGTGTAGAAGGCACCTTGGTGTGTGGTGCTGAAGGCTGCTGTGGTGTGGTGAGGCACCTTGGTGTGGTGCTGAAGGCACCTGGTGTAGTGCTGACTGTGGTGTGGTGCGGAGAAGGCACTGTGGTGTGGTGCTGGAAGAATCATGGTGTGGTGTGAAAAGGCACCTTGGTGTGGTGTGAAGAGCACCTTGGTTTGAGTGTACTGGAAGAGAGAGGCACTGTGGTTTGGAGTGCTGAAAGTCTTACTTGGTTTGAGCAGAAAGGAAAGCACTGCTGGTGTGGGGTGCTGGAAGAAGGCGCCTTGGTGTGGTGCTGAAGAGAGCCACCTTGGTGTAGTACAGAAGAAAACTATGGTATTAGTGCTGAAAATATGATGTGAGTACTGAAATCTATGGTATTAATAGTGCTGAAAACTATAATAATTCAGAAAAACTTTAACAAATTAACAAATGCTAAAGGCACTTGTAGTGTGGTGCTATGAAAGAAGGCACCTTGGTGTAGTGTGAAGAAAACTTTTGCTAGTATGTGGCCAGAGAAAGAAAAACTCTGTAATTACTACTACTGAAGCTGCCAGTGTGGTGCTGAAGAAGGCACCTTGGTGTGGTGCTGAAGAAGGCACCTTGGTGTGGTGCTGAAGAAGGCACCTTGGTGTAGTGCTGAAGAAGTCACCTTGGTGTGGTGCTGAAGAAGGCACCTTGGTGTGGTGCTGAAGAAGGCACCTTGGTGTGGTGCTGAAGAAGGCACCTTGGTGTGGTGCTGAAGAAGGCACCTTGGTGTGGTGCTGAAGAAGGCACCTTGGTGTGGTGCTGAAGAAGGCACCTTGGTGTGGTGCTGAAGAAGGCACCTTGGTGTGGTGCTGAAGAAGGCTTTTGGTTTAGTGCTGAAGAGTCACCTTGGTTTTAGTGCTGAAGAAGGCGCCTTGGTGTGGTGCTGAAGGCGCCTTGGTGTAGTCGCGAAGGCACCTTGGTGTGTGGTGCGGAAGGCACCTTGGTGTGTGGTGCTGAAGAAGGCGCCTTTGGTGTGGTGCTGAAGAAGTCACCTTGGTGTGGTGCTGAAGAGCACCTTGGTGTGGTGCTGAAGAGGCACCTTGGTGTAGCCAGGTCACTGAAAGAAGGCGCCTTGGTGTGGTGCTGAAGAAGGCACCTTGGTGTAGTGCTGAAGAAGGCACCTTGGTGTGAGTGCGGAAGAAGAAGGCACGCGGTGCTGAAGAAGGCGCCTTGGTGTGTGGTGAGGGTGCTGAAGAAGGCACCTTGGTGTGGTGCTGAAGAAGGCACCTTGGTTTGTAGTGCTGAAGAAGGCACCTTGGTTTAGTGCTGAAGAAGTCACCTTGGTTTAGTGCTGAAGAAGGCGCCTTGGTGTGGTGCTGAAGAAGGCGCTGGTGTAGGTACTGAAGAAGGCACCTTGGTGTGGTGCTGAAGAAGGCACTGGTTTAGTGCTGGAAGAAGGCACCCCTTGGTTTTAGTGCTGAAGAGTCACCTTGGTTTGGCAGTGCTGAAGAAGGCGCCTTGGTGTGTGGTGTTGAAGAAGGCCTTGGTGTAGTGCTGAGGAAGGCACCCAGCGGTGTAGTGCTGAAGGCACCTTGGTGTAGTGCTGAAGAGAGGCACCTTGGTGTGGTGCTGAAGAAGGCACCTTGGTGTGGTGCTGAAGAAGGCACCTTGGTGTGGTGCTGAAGAAGGCACCTTGGTGTGGTGCTGAAGAAGGCACCTTGGTGTGGTGCTGAAGAAGGCACCTTGGTTTAGTGCTGAAGAAGGCACCTTGGTTTAGTGCTGAAGAAGTCACCTTGGTTTAGTGCTGAAGAAGGCACCTTGGTGTAGTGCTGAAGAAGGCGCCTTGGTGTAGTGCTGAAGGCGCTTAGCAATTATTGGTGCTGAGGCACCTTGGTTGGTACTTTGAAGAAGTCACCTTGGTTTAGTGCTGAAGAAGGCACCTTGGTGTAGTGCTGAAGAAGGCGCCTTGGTGTAGTGCTGAAGAAGGCGCCTTGGTGTAGTGCTGAAGAAGGCGCCTTGGTGTATAGTGCCGAACCTTCTCAACATAGATAAGGTTCTTATAGTCACAGATGAAGTCTTTGTTGGCACTAAACAATTATTTTCAATTCTTCACCGAATCTTGAAATATGAATGAGAGCCTGCAGTCAGAACAGCCTCATTAACTTCTGGAACAAGACTGAAGTGAACCCTGGAGTTACTGAAGTGAGTCATGGAGTTACTGAAGTGAGTCATGGAGTTACTGAAGTGAGTCATGGAGTTACTGAGGTGAGCCCTGGAGTTACTGAAGTGAGTCATGGAGTTACTGAAGTGAGGCATGGAGTTACTGAAGTGAGTCATGGAGTTACTGAGGTGAGCCCTGGAGTTACTGAGGGGTAACAAGTATTCATAAATACAGGTTAAAAATGTACTTGCTATTAATACAGTATTTGAACACAATATATATTTGACTAATGAAAAAATATATATATATTACTCGACCTTTGTAAATTTCTATATAAAATACTGTGTGAACTTGTAATAACGGTCCTACTTAAATTATTATCGAACCTAACTTAACCTAACGTGTGTGTGTGTGATAGATATTTTCTTTCACTGCCAGAGAAATCATCCATGAACCTTGTGTTTCAGACTTAGGTGGCAGTAAACCGATTGAAGAACATTGTTTATCCCAGGACACACGGCGTCGCCTGGCAGCTTCCCTCACCAAGATCCAACGACTCATGAGCGGCGGCCAGTCAGGTACACGCTATGACCACACCTCCTCCTCCACCCACTCCAGCTTACTTCTTTATTCTTCTTTTCCTTGTTCTTATTCCGCTTCTTCTTGCTCATCTGTTTCTTCTTTTTTTTATTCATTCGTCCTGTTCATCCGTTTTCTTTCACCCATCTCCTTCCACCTCATCTTTCTCCTTCAGCTTGGCCTACTTCTCCTCAATCTATAATTATCATGTCCTTGCCATCATCAAGCGTCACAGAGGTTCATGCGAGGAATATGTCCCCCCCTTAACTGAAGATGTAAGAACGTATTTAATTTGACTAGATGACTTGAGCTAAAGTAGGAAAGGAATAATGATGAAGCTGAGACGGAACTTTAGAGTTGGGGAGGTAAATGCGATCCAGTGTGAGACAATATGGCACAATGGACGGAGGATTTTGACAACTCTACCGAGACAACAGGAGTAGCGGTGTTTATTTTGATATTCATCTGACCCCTCCAGGTAAAGGTACTTTTTGGAACGAGTGTTTACCTTGTTAAGATAGTCTTTGTACAGTGTTCTATCGATGTTAGTTTTACACAGTATTTTTGTGTTTTAGCATAAGTCTAACAAGTGTGTGTGTGTGTGTGTGTGTGTGCTGTAAGGTAGTAAGGTCATCAATGATTGTAATTCTTGCTTGGTACAGGCAGCGATGAAGTCGGACGGTGGTCGAGGGAGGTGGGGAGGGTTGTGGCGGAGCTGGATCCTCGCCTGGCCCGGGAGAACCTGCGGCCCCCTACTCTGGTGTGCTCAGACCACCACAACGGCACCAAGTTCTTGGTAAACAACTGCAAAGGAGTTCCCCGCCTCGCTCAGGTGGTGAGTGTGGTGGTGCCAGCGAGGGGGTGGCAGCCCTCCAGAGTGTCGCAGGTGCTACATGGCCTCGCTGCTCACCACAACCTCACCACCATCCTCATCCTGGCTGACGACGACCCCACGCCAGACACCAACGGCATGACGCTCGTACAGAGATATGATCACGCGGTGAGTGACGGGAAGGCGCTCAATGACGCCATCGCGTTAGTGAACACCTCCTTCGTTCTCGTGGCCACGTCCTTGGCTCACTACTCATGGCTTCACTCGCCCCTGGAGCGCCTGGTGAGGGTGCTGGACCGTCTGGGTGGTGAAGGAGTAGCCGGAGGCAGTTATCGTGACGAGCAAGGACAGTGGCGCCACGGGTGCCTTCAGCGTTCCATCACCAACTATCATGCCACTTTCCTCCGTGGTTACCAACACTCTATTCTGGAGTGTATGTACTGTGACGAAGTGCTGGGCCCCTTCCTGGCCAGTACCCACCTCCTCCAGCAGCATCCCTTCCCCGACGAGGTGAGCGGTCCCGCGCTCTATCGCGAATGGCACACCAAAGTGACCCAGGCGGGTTACCTCACACTGGCCTGCCCCGACGTCATGTTTTTCTTACAAGAGGAACCCATCATGAACACTGCCGACTGGAATACTTACGCCACTCGCATGTCCATCCAGACCATCCACTCCTATGATGGTAAAGAGTATAAGTTCAAGTGCAGCGATGTGCACATAAAGTGTGACGACCTGCGCAAAACTATCACATGGTACCTGATACCGCTGTGCTGCCGAGAGGCCATCATGCACGGCATCACCATCCTCGATGACTTCGCGCGAGAGAAGGGGCTGTTGTACGAGATGAGTCACGGCTCCTTGCTGGGCGCCGTCAAGCTGGGCACATACCTGCCCTGGGACTTTGACCAAGACATCTACTACGACTGTAAGGACCGACGAATCTGGGAGACCATCAACGAGTTCTTGAAGGCGCGCAACACCGGCTGCCACCTGCGGGTGTCCAACGACAGGAAGCTGCTGGTCCTTCAGTGCACCACGTTCTTCGTGGACATGCCGTGCAGGAAGCCACTCTCCAGTCACACACTCCCAGCTGTCTACAGGAACGTCACCACGTGGATAGACTACGGTGGGCGGCGAGTGAGCGTCATGGCCAATCCTGGCAGTGCCGCCAGGGACCAGGCCGGCCCTGACAACCTCCGCCACGCCCAACACTGGCGAGTCCCAGGCCACCCTGACCCTGGAGCCTGGAGACCCTGCCAGAACCCCACAGACCAAGCCTGCCTCGACCACCACCCAGCTGACGGCAGCCTCGCCTTCACCAGCCCCCCCATGTGCCTGCCCTGACACCCCTTCCCCACCACCAAAGTGATCTAGCTGCTCCTACATTCCCACACACATTAAAGGGTCCTTCCCTCCCCCAGCACCACCACCACAAGGGGCTGGGGGAGAGTATCATAATCACGTTGTGTTGTTCGCTGGTATATCTTGATGCCTTCACACTCATAGCTGTGTGCAGTGTCGAGGGAGACTTATTATCAGTGTCGAAGGATAAGTGTTGTGAGTGCGATATTTGTATACTCTTAGAAATAAATTATAAATAACAAATATATTTTTAACCCCCCAAAGACATTAAAGTGGTATATATACAGAGTATACACTGTGTATGTATATATATATATATATATATATATATATATATATATATATATATATATATATATATATATATATATATATATATATGTATATATATATCAGTAATAAAGCCCTTTATTTCCGGATATGTGGTATTATATTTTGTTCACTTTTCGATGATCATCTGCCATGTTGGTGTTGATATCATTCGTATGTGAAATAAATATGATATTTTTTTCAATATACTCTACCAACAATTCAATTCAATTCAGTTTCAATTCAAACATACATACTGTACAGTATATCGTTTCTCTCTTGATTTATTTTTTTTATTTATGGTTATTATTATTTTTATCTTATAATTTTTATCTATTATTATTAATTATAATTATTATTATAATATTTTTAGCCCCAGGCCCTGACGTGGGTCAATGACCTGTGCTTGGGTGGGTTAATCCTCGTAAAAAATAAAGTGGGAATTAATATCAGTCTTCTATAAATCTTTAATATCGATGTTCGAGTTAATCAACGACTCTGTAATTCACCTTTTTCATGCATACATTACATACTAATACTTACATGTAAATATCTGGATCATGAAGATTTAGAAACACCAGCTTATTTCACCTGCTGATTAAATACCCTAATGCTAAATGCGAGGGTTAAGTTAGGTTAGGAAGTTTAATCAAGTGAAATAAGTCTGGATGCCTAATCTTTTTAGTGTTGAGATATAACACCAAATACATACTTCCTGTTACAAACTCGAGATTAATCTGAAAGTAGCAACAGATAACATCACTCACCTCAGACCTGCCAGCTGATGAACGAGTGAGCACCGTGGACGACTGGAGCCTACTGTAAATAAAGGAATATGGGCGGTGTTTATATTACATTATCCAAAATGAAGAGACTATAACATAAATAATTAAAATGTTATCATATATTATTAAGGAGTCGGAAAAATATGCTGTGGTAATTGTTGTTTTAATGATAACTTGAAAATACTGTTGATAAACGACCCTGGTAAATATAATTACTTTAATATGTTTACTCAGTAATTGGTAATCACCTGATAAGCTTATATCCTATAAATATGCAGTGTTGTATCTTCTAAAATAGTTTATCAAAATCTTCCCTTTAAAGAAGTTAAACATTTTACTTTTGTTTAAAGTAGAAAGTAAAATAATCTAATTTTTTTATTAAAAATTATAATAAAATTTTTACATTCTCAGAGTAAACATATACATGATATATACCTGTAGTGTAGCCTTTGTTTACGCGGCAAAAGGGCAACATGGCCACGATACTGCGTACCTCAACCTAACCTTGATATAACTCGTGACTTCACTTACCCGTGACCTCACTTATCCTGCAATACCCCCAATGTGCGAGCTACAGCTGACGGTTGGTCTACACCTTGTCCACTCTCTCTTAATTATTGTGTTATTATAAAAGACATAACGATATACGCCTTCAATTAAACACTTACCAATCACTTCAGGTTTTACTTGGGTGCAATACGTAATATACTGATTAATGATTAGATTTACTGATTTTTGTCTCCCCTGACAACAATGTTTAAAATTTAAACGAAAACGAAAAAAAATACGTTATCGGTTGGCAGTCGTTTTAGTCACTTCGAAATAATTTCACGTGTGTTGAATTGTGTACATCTTAAGGAGGAAAGTGCCCAGTTTTTTTTTTTCGGGGATTAGCCAATCCGGGCACAGCTGCCTACTCACTAATGGTGAAAATTAAAAAAAAGAAATGCAGTTACAATTTCACAAAAAGTGTAAAAAATACTGAATATATGAGCTATATACAGTGCAGATATATACAAACAACAGTAAATAGTCGACCTGACCGAAGATAATCTAAGAAAGCTGTTAAAAGCTTATATCCATTTATGTCCCTGGCCACTATGTTATTGGCATTACTTAACAAAAGAGCTAAAAGCGTTCTTACATATTTTGTTATTGGTAAAACCCAAGCTTAATAACAGAGTCGGTGGCTGTTGTGCTGAGGCAGTAAGCCGTGGTCAAGCTGGAATCAAGAAACAGCGTTAACGGTTTTCGTCAGTAGCAGCTGCCTCAAGCCTCCGGGACCCTCTCCCTGTTGGCGCTCGTCGCGATTTTTATTCCCAGGAAGGATACAACGAGGTATTACTTGTCAATTTCAATTTACAAGTAGTTTTAGCATCAGTAAGGGCACGGCGCCTCTACACCTGCACTAACAGGCCAAATCAAATATGAACAAGCATGACGATTTTATTGAATATCTATCCATTTACGCAAATACATCCCATTGGAGAAAAAATCTTTATGTACGGAACATCGGTAAATAAAGAATAAATTTGTGTACAAGTTCCTTTGTATAAATCCCAAGGAAAATCCCAGTGGGCAAGATATCACAATAAACCTATGGAACCTAATTTCATGTCTTGACCAATTTACAGAGGTCAAAGGTCTCCAAAAATTAATGGGAAAATGTTGAATGTACTTGTTAATGTTGGTTTCTTTCATTTTCCATTGTTCGTCAAGACAAAAATATAATAAAATATAATTATATATAAATAAACAGATGGAGAAATGTGCTCGAAAATCACCAAATATATATACTATTTTTTTTTTTTTGCTAGAAGTAATTATTTGGTTAATTTACAGTATGCAAAGAACACAGTTGGGGTCAACAGCTGCTATGAGTAGGTTTATTCCCTGCCATATTTTAACTCGAGTTTTGCATCAATACAAACAAATTCTGAAGAAAATTATTTAACTTAGAGTTCCTTCATCTACTTATGGTTCTGCTGGGTAGTATACGAAAGCAATTATGGTACCTTTGGAGACAACTGAGATGACTTACCGGTACCTGTGTATGGCTGGAGGTTGAACGACCACTCGAGCTTCGGGGGAATGTAGCGGGACTGTTAATTTTCTCCATAGTACAGACTACGACAAGATTCAATTATTAACAAAAAACAATAAATATCATGACTATAAACAGTTCCATTAGCTAAAATTAATACATAAGTTATAATTCAAATAATAATTTCAAGTTCAATATTATCTATATGCGTTAATAAGACATTTTTTTATGAGAGTTGTTAGTTCTGGGAAAAACATACTCCGGCCGGTCGCTCACAGCTGCGGGTAACTGAGTTAGACATTGTTCAGTTCATCCTCAGCATTCCTTGTGTGTCGTTGTCTGCTCCTTAATTTGTTCGCCCAAAATCTATCCATAAAGGTAAGACATGTTTATATAATACTACAGCGAGATAATTAGATTTTAGTTTAATATTTGATAACTAGAAAGTGGTATTTAGTTACGTGTTATTATTATAGCATTTTATCTCATTATTATTATTATTATTATTATCGTATTATTATTTATTATTGTTGTTTTATTATTAGAATTATAAGCAACAAATAGTATATTAATTTAATGTTATATCAGTTACCCCCTGCAGTTATACATGTACACATACAAATACAGAGTATACATACACAGATGTGCAGTACATGTGAATAAATATCCACACACAGAATAATATACATTCATAGAAGAAGTGTTTCCTTATGTTCGTTCTGCATGATAACTTGGCGAGCTTTTATGATTATGAATGTTTCAGTGAGACCGGCCTGTTGTGCCTTGACTGAAGGGCTGTAGAGAGAGAGAGAGAGGATCACCTGAAGATTAGCCCCCCCTCTGCTTGTTTCACTTCATGATTAAACAGCCACACACTCACCTCACCTAACCTAATAATTCACTTAACAACTAACACACCTGTTGATCTTTAAAGGTAATAGGATAGAACGGAAGAGTGACGCCCAACTTTCTCTGATGCGTCCAATGGTTGTAACTCACTGTGCACTCTGAGTTCCTACTAGTGTACTCTATGTACGCTTGAGGTACTAATACTGTACTCTTTAACAAAGTACTCTGAGGTCCTCTAAATGTAATCTGTAATATTACTGTACTCTGAAGAGGTATTACTAAAATACTATGCAAGTTAAATGTAACTATGTACTGTCAGGTATTATTAACGTACTCAAAGTACTCTGAGGGTCTATTAATGTACTGGTACTATGGTGGGCAAAAGTCTCTTCCCTCAGCCCTCCCTCTCTTTCCCCCTTTGCCCCCCCCCCCCACCCCGTTATACGCACTACAGTACACAGTGCGTCATCTGTTGGACGATTACAGCACTTCCCTCAGTTGCTTTGTTATTCGAACCTCAGGTGATTCAGTCACGTTGTGGCTGGCTGAGGGAAGGAACTTTTGCCCAACTTAACCTAAACTAACCCATAATATCCCCTTCACAACCACCACCTCTCTACCTCTCCACCGAGCAAACATGACACAAGTCTCAAGTAAATAGAAATTAAAACCCAGACACGAGTACATAAAGTGACTACGACGGAACTGTCTTGGGTTACTGTCTCTTACCTGTCCTTAAGCTTGGAAACCCTAACCTAACCAACTTTTGAGGTGAGTTGTGCGTATATACAGGTATGACAAAGGGTTGGTACCTACCCGGGTAGAAATATCAATCACCCACAACCTAACTTTATAAAAATATACCTAACCCCTACAGGATGCGAGTGGGTGGCGTGACGTTGGTTTGGGTGGCGTGGTCATGTGTGGGCGTGATGCTGAGTGAGGGCGGAGGCGTGGCCAGAACCCTTACTGAGGCTGGAGAGAGACTACTGGCTCTTAAGGTAACAGTCCTACAGTCTCTAGGCTGCCTCACAACATTCACTAGGCTGCCTCACAACAGTCACTAGGCTGCCTCACAACAGTCACTAGGCTGCCTCACAACAGTAACTAGGCAGCCTCACAACAGTCACTAGGCTGCCTCACAACAGTCACTAGGCTGCCTCACAACAGTCACTAGGCTGCCTCACAACAGTCACTAGGCTGCCTCACAACAGTCACTAGGCTGCTTCACAACAGTTACTAGGCAGCCTCACAGCTGGTCACTAGGCTGCCTCACAACAGTCACTAAGGCTGCCTCACAACAGTCATTAGGCTGCCTCACAGCAGTACTAGGCAGCCTCACAACAGTCACTAGGCTGCCTCACAGCAGTCACTGGGCTGCTCACAACATCACTAGGCTGCCTCAGTCAGTCACTAGGCTGCCTCACAACAGTTACTAGGCAGCCTCAGTCAGTCACTAGGCTGCCTCATCAAACAGTCACTAGGCTGCCTCACAACAGTCACCAGGGCTGCCTCAACAGTCACTGGCAGTCCTTCCCACACAATCACTAGGCTGCAGTCACTCACCTCACAGCAGTGGCTGCCACACAACAAGCTAGGCTGCCTCTACAGGCCTGTTGCCTCACAAGCAGTCACTAGGTTGCCTCACAACAGTCACTAGGCTGCCTCACAACTCACTAGGCTGCCTCACAACAGTCTCTAGGCTGCCCCACAACAGTCACTAGGCTGCCTCACAACAGTCATTAGGCTGCCTCACAACAGTCACTAGGCTGCCTCACAACAGTCTCTAGGCTGCCTCACAACAGTCACTCGGCAGCCTCACAACAGTCTCTAGGCTGCCTCACCTCCTCACATGACTGGCAAGACCCGGATATATGAGATAATTGGTCAACAAAGGTTTTGATTTCTATGTACTCCAGTTCAGAGAGCTAATTCTCGACTGTATTCATTTTCCCCTTATTTGGTGTATAAGAACAGACAAAACTAGTAATTAAAGCTTTAAGAATGAATGACGAAATGACGTATATATAGTCCTGAGACTGTAATGTAACTGGTGTGTGTGTGTGTGTGTTTTCCCCAGCTGCAGTGCACACAAGTCAGTTGGTCATCTTTAAGAATTCTCACCCAGACTCGATGGCCTTGAAATACCTCATCTTTAAAAATTCTCACCCAGACTCGATGGCCTTGAAATACCCCAATACTTAAGTTATTTCACATTTATTTTGGTTTGTTTTTTACAATGTGAGAGTATTTTAACCACCATTGATCTTATATTTAAATAAATGAATTATGGTGCTTAGAAATATGTTATAAATTAAAATTATAATATTTTAACGGATCAAATTAATTGTATAAAGGAAAATGGATTCGGATTAATTTAGGGGTAACTATACTGTTTGACTTTTAGGATAAATGGTCGAAGTTGTCGGGAGTACCAGAGACTAAACGACGGGGCGGACTGCCAGACGAACACACATCACACTTTTGGCAAGTATCTGACAGAAAACTTTTATATGGTACCTTTTATTACTATTTATAATATTAACTTCGAGTGTAGCTTAATATTATGGAACAAAAATAGAAGAAAGATAATAACTAGAATATTTAGAATAAAGTTTTTATATGTGGGTCATCTCTCTATCACAGGTCATCATGGCAGGGCGGTGATGGGCCGTTGACCAACAAGGTGTTAGAACTGAGGACGCCAGCAGACAAACTGACTGCCATCAGACAGCGACTCGTCCACGGGATCATTAAGGAGGCGAAGCAGTGAGTGGCAAGAGGCTTCAATGTTCCCGTTACTGGAGTCTTTTTTTTTTCTTTACCTTTTCTAACGATGTTTTTATTTCCTCTAGATATTAGTACATTTTCTTTATTTTAACAAGTGGTTTATGTTTTTCTCTTAAAATTTTACTCAATGGTGAATACTAGAGTTCGCGGCCTGTGTTTGTACCAGCTTATACTCTAAGGAAATTATGCGACGTTTTGGTTGTTAAAATTTGGAGACTTTTCATTGCTTTAGGATTACTAGTTGGTGTATTTTACTCAGCATTGTTTTCATCTTCGTTAATCACTGCTGCACTTCACCCCAGGCTGCCCTCCAACAATCAATCCATCATGTCCATCGCCTTCCTGGCCTTCGGGGTGATTCTGTTCGACGTGCTGGCCGACGCGATGTTCGGGGGGACTTCCAACATCCTGGCGGCGCTGGGGGCGAACGGCGGTGCCCAGGCCAGAGTCGCCGTTCTCCCGGGCTTTGGACTCTTCGGTGACAACCTCAACAACCTGGCGGAAGTTGTCCTTAATATGATCACCATTTACTTGTACAGGTCAGTAGAAGCCTCATCTTCACCCCCCCCCCCTTACACACTATAACGTAAACTAAAAAAAAAAAATCTACTTGCCTTTGCTTAGTGATTATTGTACCATCTTTTGGAATAGTTATGTATTTATCTCCAGTGTTATTATATGGCGACTGTATCAATGTTACAGCTATCACTATTACTCCTACAACTAACTTTATCTTCGCCACACAGGGACGAGAGCCCGGACTGCGGTGAGCGTCTGCTGTGTGAGAGTAACCAACAAGCCGTCAGCCGCGGATTCTTCGACTCTCTGGTGACTTACATAAGCGGGTTCGCCGTCTCTTTCTTCCTACACGAGGCGCCTCTCTCACGCAACCTGGAGGCCATGAGATCGGGGAGGAAGGGCCAGAACTGTATCGAGATCTACCCTCAGTGCTCCATCACTCTCTGAGGTCTGTCCCACGCCCTCAACCACGCTGCTAACGTCAGCATCACCGTCTTCAACAGCCTACAGGACGCTGGCGAGGTAGATGCAGAAGGCGTCGTTAGGGTGAACTAGTAAGGTGAGGCAGGAGGGACCAGGTACATATACACTGGTGGGTGTAGGGTGATCTAGAGTATGGGAGGCACAGGTTAAGAGTTACTAAACAGACTCGTCACCATCGCCGAAGTTGTTAACCAAAGATAAGGCGATGAAGTTGTATTATGAAAGACCTATGTCGTCTTGTTTGACTATCTGGGCATTACTAAGTTAAGTTAATTTTAAGAGACACTTCATTCAATAGATTAATTCAAGGAACATTTTATTTATTGTTTATTACCAGTAAGTATAGGTGTCAGTGTGGCGTCCCCTTCCTCTATGTTATCTTTACCCTGTCTTCAATAATGTCTATGAACACAAACATACTGTACGAGCATCACATCAGTCACTATTTTAAATTCTCACAACTGATACGTGTTCTTATAATATTTTCTTCTTGACTAATGTATGGTAAAGACAGCGTGGAAGAAGGACATATGGAGCTGCGTCTCTTTAACCCTCTAGGCGGAGTGTGGCTGAGGCTGTGACGTCATGCTGTACTATTATAGTTACGGTAGTAATATACAGTATTGTATGATACTAAGATGGCGGGATACCTGTAATTGTGATGAAATATTTATGATATACTGTATATTTTATGACATTCAAATGTCTCTCTTCATCTCCTGTAAAGTACTTAAGGAAAATGTAGTTTCATTACCTTTATAAATGACACCAATGCACACCAGCTTACTTCACCCGCTGATTACACACTCTATCGTTAACCTTATCTTTACATAATGTAATATGTGACGCTTAAGTAGCATTAGGGTGTTTAATCATCATTGAAAAATGCTCAAAGGAGGGCCACCAAACTGGTGCCTGCACTTCGGCACCTCAGCTACCCTGAGAGATTGGAGCGCCTGAACTTGCCTACCTTATACTATAGACGGGCAAGGGGGGACCTAGTTGAGGTGTATAAGCATCTCAGGGGGCACTACTCAGTTGAGTGTCCTTACTTGGAGCTGGCGGACGCTCGCCCCAGAATACTGCGAGGGCAAACTTTTTCGGAGTGAGAGTTGTAAACTCTTGGAACAATCTACCAGAGAGTGTTGTGACGGCACCGAGTGTGAGCTCTTTCAAGACAAGACTTGGGCAACACTGGAGCGGGTTCAGGTACATTCAGGAGCCGGTGCATGCCCAGTATTTGCCAACAGTGTGTAACAGAGACGTGACCGATCGCCCGGGCGGCTAGCGAGCCGATCAGTGGCGAAGAGGATAAAAGAAAAAAGTAAACTGATTCCAATTATATTATCCATTAAGCTATTGGCAGAATGTTTTAATCTGAATGACTCTGCAAGGTAATAATTTTTTTATTGGAAGTTATTCAACTCAGACAAATACAATTTTATGAACTGTATTTTATGTATTTCTTTTAAAAAAATTCTCTGTAATGGCCACAACCCGTACACCTCTTTGGTCTATACACCGTAAGTAAAGTATATATACTTTTTACTATTATCCTCTTCGCCACTGATCAGCTCGTTGGCCGCTTTGGACTGTTGAAATATATATAGGCCTACAGTATATTCTTTTTTAAATATAATTTTCGTCACTTATCTTACTAGCCGTTTGGTTGGTCTAGCCAGTGTTAGTATAGGAGGGAACCAGAGACCGGGAAACCTGAGGTGTTTGGGAGGGTCACACTGGAGAACACCCTGTGACCCAAGGTGACCCTGTGACCCAAGGTGACCTATCTTGCTGTGGCCCTTCTCAAGTGTGTCAGGGCCGAGGCTCGAATCCTTGACATATTGGTGAGAGCTATGTGTTTATGTCTGTAATTATTATTATTATATGAATGACATATAGTGTCATGTAAGATTTAGTATATGACAGTAAGAGATACGAAACTAGTTTATTTATAATTCGAAACATAAATTTCTTTTACCTTTAGATTTGTGATCATAAAGTAAAATATAAATAACGTAGAAAATAAGGATTACAAAAACTATTATTATACCGTTATATAGGTTAATTTTAGTAATTATTATAGGCTTGGACTCCCTATATTCCAGGAGTGTTTACAAACAACCATTGGAGGAGGGATGAAGGAAGGACTTAAAAGACTGGTATATATATAACTACCTTATTAGTGTTAATCTCTTTATTATCTTTGATGTTACAAGTTAATTGGGTTTTCTGTGTGTTTATTTTATTCTGATTTTGATATTTTCACTAATTTTCAGAGTTTTATTTATAATTTATCATGAAGATTAAATCAGAGGATGTTGAACGTCAAGATGAAGACGGAATCATCAGGTTTATCCCAGCCAGTACACGACTACATGATGTAAGGCAGGTTAGTTATGTGATTCAGTTAAAATCAGGTATATATAGTATTTCAGTTCAGTCAGCTTAGTTAAAATCAGGTATATAGTATTTCAGTTCAGTCAGCTTGCATTTATACAACCTCCGTGGTCAGGTGGCATGATGCAGGGTCTCTCACTCTACTGACAGCTGGATGAGGTGGTATTACGGGGTCTACCCACATCATCAAATGTTTGAAGGTTTTGGGAATTGACGGCATAGTGTAGATCTGCTTAATTTACCCTGCATTCTGCTTCATAGTTCAAATGGAGTTGTTATTGTCCCTGTGTGTTACTTCTTGACAGGAGTTTAAGAATGTTGCGTGTTGGTCTCTCCCTGACTGCACCTTGTAACGGAGATGCTGCACATGACTTACCATGCTTTTATTACAAAATGGACTTCCTTATAATATATAGAGGCAATCTAGGTTGTTGTATTGTTGCAAATGCTTATTATAACAAGTGTAATTGCATGACTACTAAGTTTGGTACTAGCTATATTGCACAAAATTATATGGGCCTTCAAGCGGTCATCATTCAGGGCATTTGTACAAGAACATATTTAAAGTAAGTTGTTTTAGTTACTTTCATTCAACTTTTACGTTTTACAGATAAACAAGCCCATTAGGAACATTTTAAAAGATGGTTTTGTTTGTGTATAAATAAGTAAACTAAACTGTTGTTATACTGACACTATTTTTAGTTTAGGAATTTTTAATACTGTTCTTATTTTCTTGGAAAGGAGGAGAATTTAAGCCAGATTGGGGTGGCTGGCCCTAGTGGCAGTGAGAGGAAGAAGCCCGGACGACTCAGGGAAAAACTCAGCACTCGTCCCTTCACCAGGTTTGATGAGGTATACTGTCCATGGTCTTGCATGATCCTTCTGATGGTTACTGGGAAGCTTTTACCTTTAATAGAACTTTATATTCTGTTTTGAAGTACAGTACTGTGGAGGTATATTATAGATTGTTTTAAATACAGAATTTTCTTATATTGGGTCTTTATTATATTTTCATAAAACATAAGTAAAGATATGGGAGAGAGGAGAAGGGTTAATTCTTTGTTTCCTCCATTGTCCTCATAGATAGAAATATTTGATTATTTGGGGTAGTAAACAATGGTGGTTTATTGAACTTCAGAAATAAAGGATTGGTCGTGTTATCCCACGTTATGATCAAGAACAGCAAACAGTCCTGTAATGTGTGTGGCAGTTTGACCAGGATACCAACCACATCATGTTAATTAAAGTTAATTGTCCTTATTATTTGAACACATATCTAGTTCCCTCTCTTTGGATATGAACGTTACTATTCAAGGGAGAAACGACATTTACCAGTATACTGTACTAGTTGGTTGGGCATGTCCAGTGTTAGTACAGGAGGAGACCAGAGGGACCCGGGTATGTTTGGTAGTGAGGGTCACACTAGACAACACCCTCCTCATACCCAGTCCAAGAGAGAGATGAACCCAGGTCACATCTTCACCACTGTACCACTGACACTCCCACCAATCTAGCCCCAACACCCTGACAGTGTACCGCCAACACTAATATTGTATCTCAGAATTTAATTAGCTCAGAACATGATGGATGAACAGAGCTCTTAAGAATTATAATATTTTATTTTATTTGTAGTACAGTTTAATTTTTTGTTTAACAGGATATCATTAGCAGTTATGTTTATTTAATCACAAATTTTGCTTTTGTGACTGTCAGCCCCCGGACAGTGGTGAGACGGAGGCACCTGATGTCAAGACGCGGTGGCAGAAAGAAGCAGCTAAGGTACAGTACATGATCTACACCTTGTACTGTACACTATGTCTTGGGGAGCTGTAATTATTTGTTTATAGTTACTATATTAGGCAATAGTATCCAGTGGGTATAGATTTAACTACTGTTACTACTACTAGTCTACTACTACTACTAATGTACTGTACTGTATTACTACTAGTATTGCTGTTTCTGCCCATATAAGTGTGACTGCTGTACTGCTAATAAAAATGTGACTGATTTCAACCTACGCATGAGTTAAGTTACTGAGGTTTGTGTGTAACTCCAACTTTAGTCCTGTAGATACAGTCGACCCTTGTTAAAACGGACCCCTTTAATCCGGATATCGGATAAATCGGACGAAATCTGAATTAAGCAAGGGACTGTCCGTGCCAAATTTCTGGTTGTAATAATTCATACAACTGTATCATTAGTCTTTATTAAACATTATACTTTACTGTAGTTGGATTGACTAATAAGACTGGTATACTGTCACAACAAATAAAGTAGTGTACCTCAGTCTGTCTCACACATAGTATAGTATAACTAATTAGGATCTCATGACTATAAAGAACCCCGAGCTTATTACACCTGATGATTAAACACCTGATTCATAACCTAACCTAACATAATGTAACTTAACTAAACCTAATCCAACAACAAACCCAACCTTCAAACTACCCAACTTAACTAAACCCTAACCCAACTTAACAAACCTACCAACAACAACTTAACCCAACCACCAAACCTAACCAAACTTAATGTACCATCACTTAACCTAACTCAGATTAACCAAACCTAACCAAATTAATGTACCAAGACATAACCTAACCAAGTATAATGTAACCTAATCTAACCTAACCATCATTAGTGTTGGTGTATAATCATCAGGTGAATTAAAGCAAAATTTCCTAATCTTCATGAGCATTAACTAAGGTGTTTTTTCTATTTTGTTCTCGTTTTGATAGTTATTTAACTCCCAGGCCAGAGCTGCTTCACGGATAGAAAGCGAGAACTTTTTTATCAGCATTTATTATAACCATTCCTATTGTTGTTTCTATTTAATTTCTGTTATGTCTATTAGGTGATTATATCAGTGTTTATAGTATAGTGTCCTGTTGCCATTCTATAAAACTGGGTTGGTGATAGGAAAGACATCAGCCAAAACACTCTCTTGATACCAACTGGACCGACACCATCAGGTAATCACCTCCCCCGCCATGAAGTTTGAAAAATGGCCCTTGATTGGTGATGATAGTTAGTTTCTAAGTAATTAATGAGATAAAATTACAGATTTAATTTGATTGTAGACAGTATAGAAATCGTTTTGTAATATTCAGTATTTATTTTGTTAACTAAGAAGATTAATTTTGTTTTTTGTATGAAGATTAGTCACAGAGGTTGTCCCAAAGACTCCGCCATCGTCCCCCAAGGAAGAACCACGAGAGACGACACAAGTGAGGATGTTATTGATGGTATGATTTTATTAAAGAGATTTTTCACAGTTTATATTTATTGTTTTGTTAAGGTCACTGTTGTGTAAATATATTAAGTATTTAGGTCACTGTTGTGTAAATCTTTAATATTTAGGTCACTGATTGTAAATATATTAACCCTTGGTGATGATCCATTGAGGTGCCTTCATAAGTTTATGACTCACTCAATAATAAATTTCATGTTTCTCTTGAGTTCTTGTCATAGTATTCAGTATTGTTGTATTGCCTGACTCATTTTGTACAGATGACGTACCAGAGCACTGTGATAATAATGGCCATGTTGATTAAGGTTTTATAATTGTTTTCACTGGTGAGTTGAGTGGTGCTTCACTTTTGTTGGTATGACAACTGACTGAGGATGCTTTTGTATTATGTGTAAAGTACAAATTTTAATGTTTTCTTTGAGGAGAAAGACAAACATTTAAGCTTTCTTATGTGCCAAAATTTTTCTGCTTCAAGAATCACCCTGAATTGTGTTGGCAAGAGTAGTGGTCTGATGCCGCCGCTCGAGGTATCTTCTGGAAAGGTCCGATGAATTTAAAATTATCACCTCGACTCCTGTTGTCTCGGTAGGGTTGTCAAAATCCTTCGTTTATTGTGTCATATTGTCTCAAATGTAAAGATACTTTTTGGAGCAAGTTTACCTATCCTGTTATTTCCATCCGTTTGTAAGAACAGCTAATAGAAAAATCTCTTGCAGTTATTCTCTGGCATTAACTTCACTTAAATTTGCCTCACTTGACTTACACAGAGGAGGAGGCGAGAGTTAGCACTTGTGGGTCCTCGAGCAGCTAGTGACCCACCTTGTCCCTGCCCAGTATGTGTGTACAATAAGAGATGCTTCCATGATAGGGAAGCCTCTTCTTGCCCTCACCATTACCAAGTTGGTGTAGTGTGGTCTATTGTTAGGTGTGGCTGTAGACTATTGTCATTAGAGGCCACGGTGATTATAATTTAGTTTATTGTGTGACCATAACTAGAGGAAAAATGGCCATAAAACATTGAGGATGATGATGATTGTGTGACCATTAATTGAGTTCATGATGATTGTAATTTAGTTAGTGTGACCATTATTAGTATTTATTAGATGACATAACTTTCCTGGGGTCATGCCTAGACACTCCAGTATGTACACACATTCATTTACACATACTTTACACTCTTAATACGAACACACAAACTTACCCATAAATATACACTGTATTCTACTTTCTATGTTGTATGAATATTGTTACTGTATATTATACCCTCACACACCTACAGTTTACACATTTATGGCAATCTAGTTCCAACCTTATCTACACTAAGTCATGTACACTACTTATAAAAATATATTCTTTAGATACACACATACAGACACATGTACATACACACAGACACATGTACACACACTCTTACACACACACACACACACACATGTACATACGGTACTTTTACACACACACACACAGATACATACTCTTACATACACACACACACACACACACATACTTGCACAAATCAGACAAGATTTGCTTTGTATCTTAGAAATATGAAAATGTGTCTTAGAGTGGCGTGATTACAGGTGACGTCCACAACAAGATTGATGCGACGTGGCGCTGAGAAACCTTGCAGATGAGGTCTGTACATTGGTGAGAAGCCGTACATCACACAGACCAATCTCAACATTACTGAAAACAGGTTTCTTCGTCAGGAAGCAGGTTGGTTGAACTGAAATAAAACTGATGGGACAGTTTATTAATTTTCAGCCTTTCCTGATTTTGTTTGTTGGAATACAGTGAACTATGAAACTTAATGGTTTTTATACCTGTTAAGGTTTGCTATATATATTTTCATCTATCGTTCTATGACTGTTTGATCCATCCTTAATATTGCAACCAGTTATACTATATCGTTTGGATTCCCTGAAGATTAGGTCCCCCTGGTTATTTACATAAATATTAACCACTCTAATGGTGACTTAATTTAACAGAAACTCCTGCCAATTGTCATTAGGGTGTTTAATCTTCAGGTGAAATTAGCTAGAGTGCCTAATATTGGGAGCAATAAGCTGGAGTGTCTAATATTTGGGCAAAATAAGCTGGGTTGCCTGAGCTTTTGATGAAATAAACTGAAATTTAATCTTTGGTGAAATAAGCAGGTGTAAACTCCAAGTGATATAAGATGGGTGTCTAATCTTCAGGTAGTCTCTTACAGGCATTGGTTCACAGAGACAGGCTCACTTGAGAGACTGGACAACCCCATCAGTGAGCAGATCTACCATCTTCCCTCGGACTTTGAGACCAACTGGAGCCGCTCACGGTGTTTGTTCATGTATGTGGTAATGTTGTGTTTGCTGTGTTGTGCTTAATGTAAGTAGGATCACCTGAAGATTAGGCACCTAGATTATTTCATTGAAGATTAACCACCCATTTGCTTGCTACCTAGGGGTGGTGAGGAAAGACTAAGATTAGTTTAAGTTAGGTTAGGTTTGAGTAGGCTAGCATTCGGGTGATTAGGTTAAGTTAGGTTAGGTTAAAGTTATCAATAGTAGGGCTAATCGTCAGGTGATCCAGAAGACTTATTGTTATTATGTGTCTCATCAGCCACATTCAAGTGAGTGTCTGTCACAAGTCAAGATGATGGCGGCGTGTTGGATGTTGAACTCTCCCAGCTGACCTTCACCCATCACCCTCTCTTCTCTCCTGAACATGTGTTGGCCTCACAGCTCACTCAAGCTTACAACACATATGTGGAGAGGGTGGCAGCAAGCGTTACAAAGATCCTCCAGAACAAACTTGTGGTAAGCTGGTCTCTGCTGTGTTGGTTGTGGTACAGATTATGTGACTTAGAAAATGGATTTTTGTTTTTACATTGATAAGTTACATATGACTGTATTACTCAGCTACACAAGTTACAGTTGGTTTATTTCATTGTCTGTGTAGTGGATTATTAGTAACAATACACATGCTGTAATATCTGTAATAAATTTTCATGTTTTCTATTTGACTCTGGGATGAGCCATCAGACTACAGTACAGTACGTGTTTACCTAAAGTGTCAGAATAGTGGTACTGCAGTGTTCAAAAACTATGTATGAAGCTTCATTTAATTTAAAGTACAGGTTAATTTTTAACTTCATATTGGTACCGACATAAACAGACCTTGATGAAAATTTTTTCCTAAAATGTAAGTGGTTAAAACCCGACCAGCATTTTATTTAGGTCTTTTGAGGTCCTGTCATGAATGATTATCAATTTATTCAGTTTAACAGCCCTCTGACATGAGTAATACAAAGTCGAAGGTTTTTAAAAATAGAAAAATAATGTTAAATGAAGCCAGAATCTTGGTTTCTTAGTTTACTTATTTGTGGTCGGGCTGAAGACTCATCACTTGTGTTTAGCTCTTTGTTAGCTTCTCTGACAATACTAAAGGCTTTGAAGATCAACTATGTGGCATTATAACTCGGTATCCGAACTGTCCCAACACCTGTGATCACCTGTTCAATTCTGTCCCATAGTGAGAACTTTTAAAAATACCTGCAGTACCTCATTTGTCATGGTATATTGTTTTCTTTTATGCATAGTTTGTCCAAGTATGCTAAAACAATATGTTCTCTTCATGATATTTTTGAGGTTATGAAGTATTAAAATGGATGAGATAACTTATAGGCACCCATCCTGTATCATCTTTCCAAATTGTCCTCTACACTTCCTGGTTCATATGTTACTGCTGTACTTAATTCTCATCATTATCAGCATTTTACAGCCATTTTCGACAATCTCTTAGCAATACATATGAAGACCTTTTATTGATTGTTATTATAATTATTAAGACAACCATTGATGAATATTAGATGAAACTACTTGGTAAATATTGAGGTGTTGAGACACATGTAATTAAATTCTGTTTTGATAGGTACAGCTTTCTGTGCTTTTTATCAATATTTTTATTTTGTTTCTTCTTTTGCTCAGTTTATAGTTTTGCCGTATCTCATGTAAATATTACACCATATACAACATACATTTTACATACTATACAACATACATCATACATTCTATACAACATGATCATATTCTCAATGCATTTTACACCATACAGAAGTAACACATTATTTATACTGAAAATTGCCTGTCTTGTGTCAGATATTTCTCGTCCAGCCATTAGTTTCATTGAACAGAATTACCGTAAACAGTGTCAATATTAATTTTTCAACTTCTTTCAAAGGTACTACGGCAGTCATTGGCAAAACTCCGTCCAGATTAGACCAGAGTCAGAGGCAGCATAAGTCTGTCCACGAGGAGATCGACTCTGTCCACGGGTTGGAGATCTACCGCCAAGAGATCCGGAGTGTCGTGAGGAGTTTATCACTGAAGCCGGAAGACCGAGTCCTTCTGACCAACATCCTGAAACTTTGAAAACATCAAACATCTGAGGCAGGTAATAAGTACCACAGCACAGCACACAAACTGATCATAAAAGGAAGATGTCAGTAAAGAAGATGAAGAGGAGAGGAGGAAAAGGAACTAGAGGAAGAGGTTAAAGAATTACTTGAAGTTTAGAAGAAGATTATACGAAGATAATCTAGAAAGCCATTACTGAGTGGAAAACTGCTCAGAAGAAAAGGGTAGGAATTTATATTTATTAATGCTTTCTTAAGTAAGTATTAAATATAAACAGATCCAGCAAATCAGGAACATGAGTTTCTTTGGAAGACTGGTAATTTATACAGGCATTATCTGATTTGTGTGAAAGGTTAGCAGTCATAAAAAACCTTTTGTAAATCAAGTACATTTTCCATAGACTCCCAGTATAAAAATCTTAGAAAATCTTTACATTAAGTCACAAGACCAGTTGGTTTTCATAATTTTTGTCTCCCATTACAGTACATTTCATGTTTATATTTCTGCTGATAAAAAGACGCCAAGAAACGTCAGCAGCAGCGACAGAAGTCAGCTGGGAAGATTTAGAAAGTTCAATTCTACAAGCTGCCAGGACGCCATATTGTCCACCCCAGAGGCAGCCAAGCCCCAGCCTCCCAAGCCAGTAGACAAGCACAAGGTAAATGAAGAACTGTTGATTGTGTACACAACCAAACCACGACATAGTGGGTGTAGTCTTTATACTTGTTTTTACAGGTTGAAGCTCCCATATCTGTCAAGCATGGGACCAGCTCGAGCCTGATATAGGAAAGTACCGCTATTTAGAGGCTTATTTTGTATGTACAGTACTTGTAACTGGTTACCAATACACTATGCATATACCTGTACTTGTATATAAACACATGTTTGGGTGACAAAGGTAGAATGA